CATTTTCGAATCCCCCTGCACACGCATAAATAGAGATACAGATATACAACTCTCCACACACATTTGTAAATAATAAAGCAACAATTTTGGCCCCATAGAAAAGTAAAGTCTTGAATTAAAAACATGAGTAATTTAATGTCTGGGATGTTTGAGACATTAACGTTAACATCAGCCCAAAATAAAGTCGATTTAAGACAAGACCGAGTAACGTTAACTTAAGTGGTCTCGAAAACAGACAGCTACACGACAGGAGAATAACAGCCATAATCGAAAAACAAGTAAGCTTTCCTTCTTTTCCTCGCCTCTTGCTACAGCTAGCCACAAACAAACAGGGTGGTTTGTACTGTAAAAGTGATGAGGCTTGTTTTATTGTGTTTAACCGGGGCTTCTTCTTTATGCCTCAACATTCTGGTTTCAGCATTCATAGTTGTGTAAAAAATGTTAGCGTCCATTTTGAGCAGGTCGACATACATACATACATATAGATATTGTATCAGCCAGCTAGTATTAGAATTTCAAATAAAGTGAACGCTTGCTAACCTAACGTCATTTGAGTTACTTGCTAGCAAAATGCTAGAGAATCAAGTCATGGTAATTGTAAGCTAGCAGGAGGACAAATATAACTGACCATTAACGTACACTTAATAAAGACAACAAACAACAAATAGCTTTTGATAACAACAAAAATATGCATTTACCTCTATATGCTTTTTCAGATTCGATGGTGAATTCTTGAAAGCCAGCAGTTCATGGTGTTTTGGTTGGCACAATTTGCAGCACATTCGCCAGGAGTCATTCTTGATGCCTACTATGTCAAACATCTCTTTCAGATAAGGCCAAGGGTGATCGGGAATGTCTTGCTGCTTTTCTGCCGAATCTCTGGGATCTCCGTTGTTTTCACTTTCCATCCTCTCGTCGTCCATACTTCTATGCTAACGCATACGCTAACGCTACTGCTACCGCCACCAAGCTGCAATGATTTGCCGCGAATGAATACTGCCGAATCTGCGGATTCATCTTGCAGTGGTGCGTCAAAAGCAACGTCGATTCCCATCCAATTATATTGAATTTGGTATTGATGACGTGAAAAATAATAACTGTAACTCCATTGAAATGATTCAAAACTAAAGTAACAAGCCAATTTTTTAAAATGTAAGGAGTAGAAAGTACAGATATTTGTGTAAAAATGTAAGGAGTAGAAGTAAAAAGTCGCCATAAAAATAAGTAGTAAAGTAAAATAAAAATATCAGAAAAATCTACTTGAGTACAGTAACAAAGTATTTGTACTTCGTTACTTCCCATCTCTGGCGAGCCCCAGGGCAGCTGTGGCTACAGTGTAGCTTGCCAGTTATCAGTGTGTGCATGAATGGGTGAATGATTGAATGTAGCGCAAAGTGCTGTAGTCAAGTCTCCTAACTTGAAAAAGAGGTATATAAGTGGTGTTTGGTAGTTTCAACTAAGATAGTTTTCTATTTTGTACTGATCCTAACTGACTTAATCAATTATGTCCAGCAAGCCATACTTAAACATAAAAACATAAGGAACAAGCCATGCTCTTACAGTGATCGGTCAGTCTTTTGCTCCGACAACACCTCTCACCTCTCCGATGCCCACCTCTCCCCCCTTCACCTCTCAAATGGATTATACAAAAAACTGTCATGTTTCATGCAGAAAGAGGGTTGTGAACCGGCGATGAGGAGTTGTGCATGTGCAGGAGCAGATTCATGAGTCTGTGTTCACTGACTTGTCGTTGTAGTGGAGAAATTGACCCAAGTTAAACACAATCCAAATATAACATGAATTATTCTTATATATATAATTGACCCAAGTTAAACACAATCCAAATATAACATGAATCATTCTTATATATATATATATATATATATATATATATATATATATAAAACTTCAGGTAGAATTTTTATGCACAACCTCAAGTAGATTTTTGTAGGTTTCTGTAAAATGCTGTGCAAGTAATACACAGATGTTCACATCTAAAATGCAAGGAGGATATTTTAAAACATATCTATATAGAGGTCTTTAATGGAGGTACTGCAGGTAGGTCGGGAGTTTTGGCCAGTGCAGTCCATGACAGATGACACCACTGTAATTGGTCTGATTCAGAAGAAAAATCTAATCAAACAATAAAAGAAAAAAGTCAGAAAAGTACTTTTTTGGGTATTTTCTTTACATTGATTTGAAAATTATGTACACACGTAATGCTATACTAGCAGTAGCTCTTAGAATGGTTAGAACAGCTGTTTAGTCCACAGCCAGTGGCCTACCAGATTAATCATGTGAAAAGTTACATTAAGCCCCTAAAAAAGGAAAAAGGCTACAACCAGGTTTCCTAGATCATATCAAAGCAGCCAAAGTCAATCACTATATTGGAAGTGGATTAACCCCAGCTGACATCAGCAGTAAATCCTGAAAGCTGACTCCAAATAGGTCAATCATAAACTAAAGCTTACTGCCTATTCACCAAGCAAGCCAAGAGGTGGTAGTTTGCGTTAATAATCATTACCAGAGGGCAGAAGGACCTGGTCTACAACTAAACTTTAGGGCTCTGGCTGGAATGGAAACAGTAGGAACCACTTCATTCAGTCTCTACCTGGATTTGCATCATGATGTGAAATTTATCTGGTCCATAGTTCAGTTAAAATCAAAGTATGTATTCCTAAAATAATTCAAGACCATAAAAGGTCAATTTCAACCCTGAGCCTCATGGCCCACTGTCCAGCATGTTTTAGGTGCTCCACTACCTCCACATACCTGACTTAGATGATACCTGCTGAGGTTGAAATGCAATCTTTTGATTAAGGTGAGCTGAAGCAGATAAATCTAAAATATGCGGGGCAAGCAACATTTTGAAAGAGCGGTTTTGTTTAATAAAGCATAAATATATATTGGATTCAGCAAAACCTAATAATATGTGAAAAGCAAGACCCTCTTCCACATTTTCTGTGCTCATCCTTAACACAGCACTAAATTGTTTAAAGGTGCCTCATTGAAAAATGAATAGGGAATAGAAATTAACTTCTAATGCAACGCTTATATTTTACAGTTTATTTTTCCAAAAATGTGCAACATGTAATATCACATAGACTAGACTAATGAAAAAATTAATCAGTTTTGCTGTGGTAAAAAAAACAAAGTCAAAGGCGATGCTCTTACATGTTTAACTCCAGAAGTCAACATCTTTTCCTCCACAAAAAAAGTGTAGTAAAGACTTATTATACAAGTGGCTTAAATGTTCAGTTGAGAACAGTGTGCTCTGTAAAATGTTTTATTTATTGATTTTGTTCGGGGAAAAAAAGTTTCTGGAATACAGAGGAATGGCTCCATACTCCCTATTTCACAGTATCACAGCATAAAAATCGTGGGAGACCCACAGAATCTTTCACACTCGGGGCCTATCGTGACAGACTTGGTGAAGTGCCCTGAGACAAAGCCTGGGGCCTTAAAAAAAAAGAGAAAATTGCCATTATTTGGAATTCTATTACTGTAAGTTGTTTTTCTACTGTTTCAGTTGTTTTTTGTAAAAAAAAAAAAAAAAAAAAGACTTTCAATGTGAAAATGGGCTTAGTCAAGAAACCTCAAAAGAAAAACTGCCAAGACCCCTGATATCAGCATAGTTGGTGAAATCTGGAGAGTAAAACTGTGTAATAGAAATCGCTGTCCATAAACTTTCAATTTGTTTTAAAAAGTTTAATGTTATGGTGGTGTCATAACATCTGATGACTTCATTTACATTTGTTTGTTTAACATGCAGGTTTTCTTTTACAGACAAGAAAAAAAAATTTCGAACAAGGTCAAATGTTAGGTATGAAATTATTGTTCAATATGTAAAATCATGAACCAATACAACTCAGAAATCTATAAATAGCCAATAGAAACTCCATATTAAGACCCTTAAAACAAAGCAATACACAAGGTTTATAAATTGTTATCATCTTGTTTTTATTTTTTGGAATCATACTAAAAAATTTCAAGCAAAACAACTTTTAAATTTGCCCATTAATGTTTGCCTTTCAAAGAGTTTAACAATTTGGGACTTTCCACACAGTACTCCCTTCAGTCCAGAGTGAATTGAAAACATTTTTATACTCTGTAATAAAAAACAAAAAAGACTAAACATGAAACATGTACTTCAAGGTCATGTTTCTTATTTGTATTTAACCAAATGTATTATTAGAATTCTGCTTTTTAATATTGTGATTGTATTTTAAAAATAACAAATGGATAAATGCATTGTGGGATCTGAGTGAAATTCAGGTTACTCTCTTCTTAAATATATCCAGGAAAGTTCTTCGTATTTCACTAGTATACAGGCCATACACAATAGGATTAATAAGTGGAGGTAAAAGAAACATTAGCATCCCCATTACCTTTTGTAAATCAGTAGAAATGTTTTTGAATCTATGCGATAAAACTGTGAAAGTTCCTGCAACCTCAAATATGAGAAGAATAACCAACTGTGCAACACAAGTGTTCACTGCTTTTGTCTTAGTGTCAGATTGCTTTCTACTCAAACATGCAATCAGAATTTTAAGGTAAGAGTATGCCTGAATAGACATACACAGAACTTGTATGAAAGCTGTGATAAACAGACCAATTACGTTATTGACAGCTGTGTTTCCACACATGAGCTTCACAAGAGATGGGTTGTCACAAAATACGTTCAGTATTACAGATCTACACCTCGTGAGCCTTGACTGAAGAGAAAAGAGTGATAGGATAAAGACAAAGTCACAACCCCAAACCAGGCAGATAATAAGAGCAATAATTCTTGGAGTCATGTAAGAGCTGTAGCGTAGAGGCATACAAATGGCAATGTAACGGTCAACGGACATTGCTGCGAGAACAAACAGAATTCCACCGGCACACATGTGTAGAAGAAAAGCTTGTAGAACACAGAGTGGATAGGACACTATATGAGTCTCTGTAACAATATTTGAAAGTATTTTTGGTAGCATTGCTGTTATTCCTATCAGATCATTGAGGGGCAGACTAATCAGTATAAAATACATGGGCTTGTGAAGATTTTCCTTAAGAATAATCAAAGACATCAAAGTCAGATTGCAGGACATTCCAAACAAGTAAATAGCTAGTCCAAAAAAAAACACTGGATACTTTCCTCCAGGTGGAATGAAAAAAGTATCCAGGGTTAGCTGAGAACTAATTCCAAATGAGCTGTTTTCCATTTTTAATGAAGTTGAATGAGAAAGGAGATGATCACCAACACCTAGTACTGAAAATAAAGCAACATTTGAAGTTACAGCAGATACAACTCATGTTTTAATCAACTGTAGAATAAACTGCTAACTGATCTGCATCGCTTGCTTTATTGTTTCTCCTGTGCTTGTTTCGGTCACCTTAGGGATTGGTTCAGTGGCTTGCAGAACAAACAGCAACATAACAACTGAAATGCTTAAGATGACAAGTTCTCCAACTTTTTATGACAACTATAAGCTCTAAACTATTTTTCAAAGACTTTTTAAAACAGTTGTAGCACAACTATAAATTAACATTAAATGGTTTATTAAAGGATTTAGATTAAATTTATTCACTGATAAATGATGCACCATAATTGAAACACTAAACAAACTTAAAGTTGAATACAGTTGAATGTTCAACTAACTTTTGTGTTTTTTATTGTGAAATGCAGGAAATTAACTTTTGGAGTTGGCTTTTGAGATAGAGGCAATTTTTTTCTAATGTTCCATTTAATCAATACAAAGTACTATTTAAGAGGTGCTTCTATTTAAAATAGAATTTTATGTTCTATGACAATAAAATCTTGGGGTGGCCTACTGGTTAGTGAGCAGAGCATTTGCTTCTCTAAGCCGCTGTAAAGGTTGGAGCTTTGAAACTCAGATTGTTAGTGTCCCAAAAACAAAAACGTTGAGGTAACAATAGAGATGACAAATTTCCTCACTATAGGACAATACACTCTAAATAAAAAGTATAATTCTGAAGTTCAAGACTTTTAGTTTAATAATTTCCTTTTCACCACTACTTACAATAACATACAATTCCAAGTTTTGCAAACTTAAAAGGCAAAATATAATGATTAAACTAAATTCTAAACCTAAACATTTTTGGTTCTGTCAACTTTCCCTTTTTTGTTTCATTTGATGTCAGAATTTAAATTTTACAGGTTTTTTTGTTGCAGGCATGCAGAAAGTGGGCCCATACCGTACCATACCATACCATACCTTTTAAGGCTTTTAAGTTGAATCAGTGTTCACAAAGTGCTGTAACTATTTGGGAAAATAATGTACAGGACACAGAGGGTTAAACAAAAAAGTTCAAAATACAAACTACAAAAAGTTTAAATAGATTAAAAGTATAAAAGAAAGGATGGATAAAATAAAAGAAGGACTAAAAGAGAAGAGTAAATAAAAGCCAATCTCTCAGAAAATACAAAAAACCTTTGCAAAAATGTGTGTGTCTGAGATTGTTTTTAAACTTTCAGAGGGATGAGAGCTGTCTAACATCTGATGGTGGCTCGTTCCACATCTGCAGAGCAGCTACAGTAGAGAGAAAGGAGCCCACATAGGTAAGGAAGTGCCAATCCATTGAGAGATCTAAAAACAAACAGAAAAATACAACAACTTTGAAATGCACACTGAAATGCACTGGTAATCAGCAGAGCAATGTTAAACAGGGGTGATTTGAACAGACTTTCCTGCTGGAGTTAGGAGTTGAGCTGCATCATTTTGAACAATGCAAATGCTTAATAGATGTGTTACTATTCCATAAATATCATGCATTACAGTAATCCAGTCTGGATAAAAAAAAATATATATATATATACATATATATATATGTATATATATACGGTATATATATATATACGGTATATATATATATAAACTTTTCCTGAAAATTTCCTGAAAATTGAGCCATGATCTAACTTAACGGACAAATGACAATAGAACATCCAACAGAAAATTTAAGGAAGTTCCTTCTGGAGCAAATATCAATTTGTGCACAATTTCTTTTAATCAACCTGTTGAGATTTCATTATTGTTGTCTAAACCGGAACTTTTGGACATTTGAAATAATTAGACTTTTTTTTTTTTTTTTACATTAGGGATAGCCTGTATGTCAAGCTAAATGTGGATTTTGTTCCTTGGTATTTGATAGATAAGCTGCTTATTCAATAAGCTTATGCAGAAAGGCTGCAAATAATGAGTAGTTGAATCTGAATCAACCAGTGAAATTTTTTTGTGTCTGGGGAGTCCAGGTTATGTTTTGTGGTTACTGTTCTACTGTAACTGGAGCGTGTAACAAAAGTAATTTCCCTCTGGGATTATTAAAGTATTTGTGATTCTGATACATCCTATTTCTTGTCTTCTTCATCTAATTCTTCTGTCCCTTCTCATGTGTTTCTTCCTCGTCCTGTTCCTTCTTAATTAATTAGAAAATTAATTCCATTTTATTGTCATTACACTGTCACAAGTACAGAGCAACGAAACGAATTCCATGCATTTAACCCATCCCCTTGGGGAGCAGTGGGCTGCCATTGTGCGGCGCCCGGCGAGCAGTGTGGGGTTAAGAGTCTTGCTCAGGGAGCCATAGTGGCAGATCGAACTCACAACCTCAGGATTCAAAGCCCTATGCCCTAACCACTAGGCCGCCACTCACCCTTCTTGCTCATATAGCTGGCATTACCTACAAACACTGACATTGACCTTCCAGATTTTACTTTTTTTTTATTATTATTTCAACACAGACTCTCTCCTGAAACATGTTATCTTTAGCAATAAAAATATATTTTTATTGACTGGCATTGATATTATTTAATTAAGCAGATTGACGACATATGCAAGTAAGGAGTAATATTGCTCATATGCTGCCTTAAATGTTCTGTGTACTGTAAATACATACAAAATTCAAGCAGACTATGTGCCAAGTCTCGTATGGGATGACGTTGGAAAAAATATTGTTGTTGAGATCTTGCATATTTCATAAACAATAGATCTTTAAGTTTTATTATTTATTCTTTTAACTTAGTTCTATACAACTTCAAAATGCATCTTCTTAAAGCCTGTGTTTTATGAACCACTGATATTCAAAGAGAGAATGTTATCTGCTAATAAGATAAAAATGAAGGTCCAGCATCCTCTAGATCAGGCCTTAAGGTCCCAAGTCTAGCACCTTTTAGAGGTCTCTTTGCTTCAACACACGTAAGTCGAAGTTGTTAGCAGGACTCTGAAGAACTTTGCTTGATCCAGATATCTCAAACTTTACCTCCTACCTCTTGTTCCTAGTTCCAACATAATGTCTCATGAAAAAAACGTGAAGATGATAAAAACTTACTATGAACAGGGACTGTTGCATTGCCAGTGTGTATGGGGTAGAGTGACTAATTGAAATGTATTTCAGCTTTCTGAAACTACTGTTAATCATATATGTATCAACTGATTTCCTTAGAATTACCTTGAGTTTGCCAACATACAAACAGGTCACATGGATTATGGCCTACATTGAAATTCAAAGGAACTGAGACCCTTCAACTAGCTGTATCTCTCTATCTGAAAATTTCAATTAGCTGCATCTCTCTAAAGGAATAAAATATCCTCACTCATTTGTTTGTATAGTGTTTCTGGAAGAGCTTTTTAACTAACTGGTTTATGTAAAAAGCAAAGGTTTCCATGGTAAATTCAGCCCTATTGTAAGCTCGGTAACAATTAATGCAAAGTTCTCTGAATTATGTTTTTTTTTCTCTCCTTTGTTTTCTGACAAAAGTTATTATTTTGTACAGATTTATAGTGTTTTAATTGTTCATTTTTTCAGGGGTAAAAAAAATTGAATACTGTAAAATTAATAATTGATTAAAAAAAATTATTAAATAAATACTTTTTAAATAAAATTGATAGATTGATAGGTAATTACTACTCTGGTCAAGGAAAAATGTACATCCAACATTTGTTTACCAAAAGGTTCATTAATCTTTATTCATCCATTTTCCATCTGCTTGATTGTTTTGGAGGCTGGATGAAAGTCTGACTCGCCATTGAACAGTCAGCAGTCCATCACCGAGCAACAAGGAGACTCACAGGACAGGTAATCATGAACCAAAGAATATGTACGATCAAACACTGTCCACTTGCATTAATAGGCAATATGAGAGAGCCAGATATATACATGGGTCGTATTTAACCCCCCTCCTAAAACAGGTCCTCTAGTGGTATTGGAACCAACATCCTTCTACTGCAAATTAAAATGTATATATTATAAATATTTTGGGTAGAATCTAATAATCCAGTTTAAGTGTTTTTCTATTCTGGATTTACCAAATATACAATAAATAACCATGTTGTTTATTATGGTGAATGAAAAAAAAAAAAACATTTGACAGGGAAAATTCTGGTACCATCCAACTAGATGGTATTTACGATGGAAAAAATGTTGTCTCATTACTCTGTCAAAACATTTCTAATAATGAGCCCCTTTGAGATAAAGCTAAATTATTGTTATTAACAGTCTCAAAAAATAATTAATCCCTGGAGGAATTTCTATCTAATATGAATGCCAATTCCCACTATGGGATGTTGTCCCACAATGCACCTGGGAGGTGACATGTAAATCATCCAGGTTGGCGACTGAGGCAACTTTTAAGGCAACTTTTGAAACTAACACGTTGAATGTTCTTTTGTAAAAACATGAATTGATTGCTGATTTTGATTTTCTTTTCTTTCAAAAAGGTAATATTTATAGGAAACAGATTAAAGCTGCCTGAATAATTGAAACAGAGCACTGAAGTGGTCACAGAGGCCATCTGGGAACAAAGACCACAAAAGCACCTTTGGGACAACAGGAAAGACCAATTATTATACCCCAGAGAACTGGACGTTATAAAACTGAAGATAAGCTTTTGATGTTTCTCCAGTTAATGTGAGATGTTTGGTGTATTGTGATACTATTTCTCATAGTAGAAGGCCTAAGCCGCTTCTCAATTCACGAGAATGCGAGTATGGAATAGTTATAATTTTATAATGTTATTCAAGCAAATATCTATTAAATAAAACAGCACAAATCCACCAGATAAAAAAAAATTTAATAAAAATTTTGCCAAATTTAACAATAACAAAAGAATGGGATTAGCAGCTGTACTTCACGCACAACTAGGCCAAGAGAAGGCTACTGCAGATGAGCAAACATTACCTCTGGCTGCAGCTAGCCTCGAGCGTCTGCGGCCAAGGTCCTCCCAACATCTGAACTTTTCTTCAGTTACGCATAAAAATAATTAATTGGGCCATATGAAAGTTTAAAAGTATAATTTTCTCGCCCCTGTAGAGCAACGGCAGCAGAAAAGTAAACTCTGAGCTCTGTGAACACTCCCTTGGAACTCACCTGTTGTTGCGGTGTATGCTGGGACATCGGTCAGTCTGAAAAACGTAATATTCTGAAATATTCTCGTTTTTGTGTTCTTGACAATTGAAACAGTGCTGGGGCTGAGGCTGGTGAAATGTCACGAGAATGCACAAGTACTCATATTGATGATGGCCCTAAACACGAGCCTGCTTATATATACTGTTGAATCTCTAACAGTATACATAAACCAGGCTGATACCATGTAGAACTTAAATTGAATTACACGTATCAATCTGGGAAACATCCTGTAAAAAACTGTTTACAAAGGGATGGATATTCAGTGCAATTCTTCAAGCTGATGGGGTACCTGATTCCCATGTTGAGTTTTTAGCCAATCACAGCAGCAGTAGCAGATTTGATTGGCAAAGAATGTGATTTACAAAGTTAAATGATAAATCAACCTCTTACAAAATCCGGCTCGGAGGAACATGCAACCATCTTACCATCAACAAAGGCAAAAATCGCATCCTTTCGTTTGTTTTTCAAAAAGATATAAGGGTATTCAAAATAAGGTTCAAGTCCTAAAAATATCTATTGTCTTTGCTGCTACTCCTCGAAACTGTTCTGCTTCACCAGTGGTTGATTGTGATGACAGCTGACTTTTTATTCTTACTCTGCCTTGTCTCTCATTGGTAGGGACTGAAATAAAGCTATAAAAACATGGTATTCTTCACTGCTGTTGACTTTGTCAGCCATTTTACTTACAGTCAGTTTACTTACCAAGGTTTCCCTTTCATATCATAAAAGAGGGCAACAAAGTGGTCTGAAAGTGCTTTCTTTTTAGATGTTTTCTTAATCCCTCTGCTAAAGTTCATTTCAGTATAGGGATATTTTTTCGAAAATATTTCATAAATGTTATCTTTCCATACATATATATATTTAAAAAGGAGAAAGGGATGTCACAATCACTTTTGGTCCAGAAGTTGCCTCGAGGGGATCCCTGACCTACTGGTATTTTTTGTTTTTTCTTTTAAACACTGGATCCCCCCTGTCGTTCTTTGATGAGCGATGGACCAAGCGCCTGCAAAGGTGTCTGACGCTCATCTGCACCTTTGAGCTCACTAACGTCTGACCACTGAATTTGGCCCAGTGATGGACAAAGTACTCAACAGTAGTTCTTCAGTAAAAGTATTGATACTTATAGTCAGACCTTACTCAACTACAAGTAAAAGTTACTTGATCAAACATCTACTCAAGTTAAAGTTTTGAAGTACTCCATCTATATATCTTCTCTCACTTAATCCGTCAGGGTCCTGGTGGAGCTGGTACCCGTTCTCCAGCAGTCTATGGACGAGAAGCAGGGTACACCCTGGACAGGTCGCCTGTGTGTCACAGGGCAACACAGAGACACATGAAAACATACAACAGTGCACACTCACACCTAAGGACAATTTAAAGAAGCCAATTCAACTAACAGGTCATGTTTCTGTACAGTGGGAAGAAGCCGGAGTAACCAGAGAGAACCCATGCATGCCAGGGAGAAAATGCCCATGAGAACACATAAATTACATAAGTAAAGTAAAGAGTCTCAAAAAAGAACTGACGTACAGTATTCAAGTAAATGTACTTTGTTACTTTCCTCCATTGATTGGGCCTTATTGGTGGCCAAGGAGGAGGAGATCAATATTCGGCTCATGTTAATGCTTTACCTTAAATCTGAATATCCATTTTATTTTATGAGAGTTGGACTTAATGTCCCTGACTGAAAGATGGCTGGTAGCTAAACTATGTTTTCAAAACTTGTCCCTCTGGACTGCAAGTTCTTTAGCACTCATCTGACTTCTGGTAAATATGTTGCTGTCCATTCAGGCAGATGTTTATCCAACTTTTCTACAACCTTAAAATTTTGACTGCAGTATTGTTGAAATTGTATCATGAGAAAAAATGTTGGTACTTCTGAAAGAAAAAACTCACTGTGGTCAGAGAAATAACTTAGATCTGACAAAAGTAAAATTTAAAAATTATATCAAAATGAATGAATGGAAAACAGACATTGGTTTTCAATCAGGGTTGAACATAAAGATTTTAAAAATCATGAAATCCCAATGATACTTCTGCATCCATTAGCAGGTTTGGCCCACTCCTCATGAGCAATCTACTCCTGTTGTCTCAGGTTTGAAGGTTGCACTTTTTCTTTTAGGGCTCATAGAGGGCCACTTTAGAATACCCAAAATTTTCGTTATTAGCTGTATTTTGGGTCATCATTCTGTTGCAAGACCCATTACCTCCATCTAAAACCAAGGTTTCTGACAAGGAGCAGCACATGTCTCTAGAATCTCATGATGGTCCTGAAATTAGCTTGAACCATGCAGAGATTCAAGACACACTATACCAGCAAAGCAGCCCCACAAGCAAAGCAACCTCAGAACATAAGAGAGCCTTCTTCCTCTAGGGCCGTATTTATCATGCACCTTAGAATTAGTTCTAAAATCACTCTGAAGATTGCACTCTCTTCCTCTTCTTTGCTCCTGCTCTGCATCCTCTGTGCCTTTTCAACTTAACCAGGACTTGTGGAAGTAGTGAAAGTATTGTTTACAGCTTCTAAGATTTTTTTGAGCTGCTCCTAGATGTAAAAAAGAAACATCTATTTTGCTATAATTACACATCATTATAAACGTCTTAAAATGATTTTTTTTTTTTAGCAAAAATCCTTTCAGCTGCACAGCATCTAACACCAGAGGTAAAAAAAAAGAGTAGAAAACCTAAAAAAAGGAGCTTTTATCCACAATGGAGGACATAAAGTTCTTTTGAGAAGAGTATCAGTATCAAATAAGCAGAGCTACTCTAACACGCATCCACTTCCTGTTCAAATCCCATGGTCTGGCATGCTGGGTACTGTACCAAAACCCTAGTTTCCTCTCCAGGCTCTGCAAGCCGCCCATCTATCCCTGAGGCAGTGGTTCCTAGAGTGGGGGGCACAAGCACCAGGGGGAGCTCAGTAATTGAAGGGGGGCAAGGTAGAAGTTAACTGAATAAACTGCCAACATTAAGAGGTCATTGTTTAAAATTGTACTTAAGGTAATGTTAAATTCTGTTATCCTTTAAGACAATACTGTTTGACTTAAAATAATGACATTTAAAAGAGGTAGGTTTGTGATTTAAAGAGGTGGCAAGTTTTTTGGATGTGCTTTTCATTGTGAAAATGAATAAACAAGGAATGTAAAAAAAAAAAGAAAAAAGAATGGTTTAAGGGAAGCATGAAAGCTTTCTTCTAAGTCAAAGTAGGACCCAGCAACAAAAGTTTTGCAACCACTGTCCTAATGAGTGTTTTAAATACTTTCCTTTTCATGTAAATTTGCAATCACCAATAAAGTTGATTATGTTTATTATCGTAAACCACAAAGAAAGTAGCTTCTGAAGTGATTAGAAAATAAAGACAAATCTTCTCTGTTGCTTCTAATTTAAAGTGTTTTTGTCTTAAACACGTTAGACTTGTTTTTTGTTTTAAATATTGTCAAGTTTTCTGTTATGTTCTTGTGTGTTTTTACCCTCATGCCATTGTACAAAAGTCCAGAGTTGTCTAAGGTATTTAGAAATAGTGTTCTAAAGATTTTCATCTCTAAACATATGCATAGGTCTTGGTGACAAAATATTACTCCCGTACAAACAACAAAAATACCAAATTAACTAGGGAATCGCTCCTTCCAGAGCAAGGTATTTATCACTGCAGATATTCAGAGGGTAGGGGTTATCCAGAGTAGGCTACCTGTTGTACATATGCTAAGAAAAAAAGGTAAGTATAGTTCATGGTTAATATTTTTACTTTTATTCAGTTAGGTTTTCTTTGATATATGTTTTTACTGCTCAATTATATACGTAGATTAATTAATTAGTAGGGCAGATTACACTTATGCTTAGATAGGTGTTTAAACTGCATAGAAATAAATACAATACTATAAAAGAATGTTTTACTGAATCTGAGCTTTAGATTCATATAAATTAATAAAACAATATTTTATATTAAGATTTTTATACACTTGTGTTTTTGACATTGCAAAGCATGTTTACTTTCTGCAATTAACTTTTTTGTTTTTTTTTAGATTTTTTAACCACATGAAAGAAAATGGGGGGAAATTCTTCAATTCCGTCCAATATGTTGGAGATCGAAGGATTTGAAATATCACCTGAGTTCAAATACCCTCTGTTTTTCTTACTTCTGTTTGTCTACTCCACTCTGCTCTTTTCTAACATTGGGGTTCTCATACTTATCTTAAAGGAAAAGAGTTTACATCAACCCATGTACTTTCTATTCTGTAACCTATCTGTGAACGACCTGATTGGAAACACGGTCCTGCTGCCTCAGCTGATGGCTCATGTCCTTTCCACAAAACGTTTCGTCACCTATAACCAGTGTTTGTTTCAAGCTTTTCATAGCCATACCTTTGGATCAGCATCGCACATAATTCTTGTATTCATGGCAGTTGACAGATATGTGGCAATCTGCAACCCCCTGCGGTACAGCACCATCATGACTAATAAAACTGTAATAGGCCTATCTGCCACCGCCTGGGGGGTGTCCATACTGCTGGTGTCTGTACTCCTTGGGCTTACTGTGAGGCTGTCTCGATGCAGATCTGTTATCAGAAATGCTTTTTGTGACAATCCATCATTGTTCAAGCTTTCTTGTGAGGATGTGTCTATCAACAACTTCTATGGACTGTTTTTTACTGTGCTGGTATTTACCTTTTCAATTGGAGGTATTGCTGCTACTTACATCAGAATAGCTTTAATCTGCTGGATAAAGAAAAACAAGGAGCTGAATAACAAAGCACTTCAAACCTGTGCAAGCCACCTTGTACTTTATTTAATTATGCTCTGGACAGGGTTCCTCACTATTATATTGCACCGATTCCCAAATTATCCAGATTTAAGGAAAATTGCATATATTTTATTTCATGTTGTGCCTGCTAATTTAAATCCTATTATCTATGGACTACAAACACGATCTTTAAGAGACAAAATTACTCAAATATTCCAAAGAAAAACTGTTATTTCCATCTAGCATTTATCTTTCTGCAGCTTATATACTGTAATTATAACACATTTTTTGCTTTAAATATAGATTTTTTTCCTCCCACATCCTTAAAAGAATCATTATTGATAACTTTATGATGCATGTCTTTTAAACTACATTCATGAAGTCCTCTTCCTGAATCAGTGAAAAAAAGTTCATTTAAAGCGATTTCCTGTTTTTGACCTGTGATCAGTGGTCTCTAAATAAGTGTATGTCGTATTTAATCTTATAAATTCTCACTGCTGGAGATGTTTTTCTAAAAAATGTTGTTGAATTTTACACCAACTTTTCAATACCTCTAAAAAAAAAAAGAACAGTTTCAAAAGTAGAATTCTAAATCTGGCTAAAATGAAAAACCAAGAAAAATATCTTATGCAGAAATGCTCCAATTACGTTGGTTGAAGTTTCACTTGAGTAATTGTTGAAAGTAATTGTTGGATTTAATGCTGAAGTTTAATAAATCAGTTTTAACATGTTCTTATTAAATAAGACTTCTGTCTTTAGATAACTAAGGATTAACTTAACATTGTAATTTATTTTGTGTTTTGGTGCTAATATATGTTGCTTTTTGTCAGCCATACCCTGAGGATGAATGCTTATTTAGAAAAAAACATAAATATATTATTTGTAAAATAACCATGATTCTTCTTCTTTTGCCTTGTGTCCAGGGAAGAGGAGTGTAATTTATCTACTGTATTCTCCTATCTATTTTTACTGAACTATAGTCATCTAAATGATTCAATTTAAAGGGGGGCAATAAAAATGTTGAAAAAAGATAGTACTGGTCTTTAAATTATACCTTTAAAGGGCAACAAAATTCCCTTTAAAAACTAAACATTATTCCCTTCATTGCTGTTTTTCATTCACTAAATTGAGTTTCTTAAAGGCCTTTATTAACCAGCGTGAATGCCATGCTTTTTTTTTTAGTTCGTTTTTGGCATATAGACTAAATTTATATAGTTCTTTTCTAGTTATACTGGCCACTCAAAGCACTTCACACTATTGCCACATCCACCCTAATGTTTTCAAAAAGGTCCACACATCGATGAAGTGATACCCAGATAGGTAGGGAATGTTATTATATACTATGTGAAAAAAACAGTCCTAGATTCATAAAATCATATAGAAATGCTAAATAAAAAACAGTCTCTAATTTGAAGATAATTGTTTGGTTTTTTTAAAAGACATTTCAACACTTATCAAGGAGTCTTTGTCAGTTCTGTTGGCTCACATCATTGCATTGCAATATTTTCTTGCAACCCTGGTGTGAACCAACAGAATTAATAAAGTCTCATGAATAGGTGTTGAAATGTCTTTAAAAAAGAACAAAAAACTGAGCGAAGTTTGTTTTGTGGTTGCCATGACTCTTATGACCCAGAATTTACACACGTTTTTTTGTTATTCTTCTTACTCAAAGAAGAATTACATAAAAATTACTTTATTTCATGACTTTAATTAATATACTCCAGCTATCAATATTTTCAATTGCTAGTACAGTCTTTTTCACTACAGTTGGGGGCTGGACAATTGTCTGTACTGCATGAGGGAAGGTACAGACATCCTTTTGTTTACACACTCAAACTTAGGAGTTTCTAATTATCTATCTGGAAAGAGTTGTGGAAGAACTTGTGTGTCCTTTGGTATGAGGTGGGGGCACCATTGACAGGCAGCTAACAAAGCTTGTTTCCCAAATATTTTCACATTTCTATTATGTGTTGCATTAAATATCATTTAGCTCCATTTACTCTCATAGCCCTAACTAAAATCTAAAGCTACAAATTACTCAGGAGTCACTAATGCTGTAAAGTACCAGGTGTATAAGCAATTTCAGTCAAAATAAACAAAAACAAAAAAAACAGCAAGAACTGCAGTGATAGAATCATGCAGTACGAAGACTTTTCATGATTAGGGTTATGGAAGCTGATCATAGAAAGATGCGTGAATCTAAATTAGGCCAATCCTAAATATGATTTTGCGACTTATATGAGATTATCTTTTTATTTATGAGATATCTTATGTCACTTTAGAAAAATATTTTTTGAAAAATTTCGCATTCATAGAGATCTTGGCATTTTATTCTTTGAGGAGCAAAGGAAAACTAACCAAAGGTATAAAATATACATTTTTTTTTTTTTATATTTAACAAGGAAAGTTGCCTTTTTTTGGGCCAGAGAAAGAGTAAGTTACAAACCACTATTTAATGTCTAATTTGACCAGTTTGACTTAATAGTTTTAACAACCACATAAAAGTAGTGCTGACTAGATAGCTTTGCCCATGATAAGCAGGCTCATGAAAAACACCATTATGAAAAACATCCACATGAAGAAGCGATCTAAAACTTTGGCTACTTTTTTCCATTCCCCAGTCCGTCTCTGCATGGCCCTCTGATCCCTATAACAGCTGGCAATGTACTCAATGTTATGCAGCAGCAATTCATCGTTGGCATGGGTGTTGCAGGAAATCTCTTGACCTTTTCTCTCTCCACCGCTCACCCCTCCTTTTCTGCACCTCCTTGGACCCCCTGGTTCCCCATAGTCCAGTAAAATATCCTTCTTCCAAGTGCTGTACTGGTTTGTAGGGTTCTTCCCCACTGAGCCCAATGGACTTAGGATTTGATCATTTTCTTCTTTCTCTTCTGTGATGACAGATCTGACTGTCTCTTGACCACTGTTAATGATGCAGTCCTCTCTTCCTAGTCCTACCTGCCCATTCATGGTGCAGTTGGTGTTCCCTCCAAAAGGAGGATCATGTTTCTCCGTCTCTGCTGACATACAGTTCTCCCCAACTTCATAAACAAAGCACATTCTTGCCATATACTGCAGAATGACTTTTTTGGCCCACTTTGGAACAGGTTTGGCATCTGGACCACAGTGGTGAATGTTCATGATGAAGATGGTCAGAGCAGTGGAGGCTGTAATCATTGTCATCGTTGCAATGTAATATTTTCCTGCAGGGATAAAAAAAAAGAGATCAATATTTACATGTGTCTGCAAAGTAGATTTTGAGCCTTCGTCATCATCCTCACCAATGAGAGGCACATTTTCAGAAGGTGGCATAATTTCGGCAACCAACAGCTGAAAGACAGTGAGGGCTAGCATCACAGTAACACCTAAAGAAACCTTTTCCCCAGAATCAGCGGGCAAGTAGAAACCCAGTGGGGCCAGAAAAGAGATCATTACACATGGTATGAGGAGGTTGAAAACATAAAAGGACGCTCTTCTCTGGAGCATCAGCGTGTAAGTCACATCTGGGTATGGGTCTGCACAGCATCCATACAGAACAATATTCCTCTTTGCTGGCATCCCAAGCACTTCCCACTCTACGTTTTCCACCAGGTCAGCTAGGTCGGCGTTCTCCATGGCGTTCAGGATGTCGAGCTGGTTTCCGTTGTAGGTCCAAGAGCCATAGGTAAACCTGCACTGTTGGCCATCAAAAGGAAAAAAGGACACGTCCACTTTGCATGAACTCTTTGTGATAGCAGGAGAATCCCACATCATTTGGCCGTCATGCCGGATCACCACATTGGTATCCATTGGGCCGGTAAAGTGGTTGTCTGCACTGGAAAACACAAGTTAACCTCTTTCAACAAGCAAACTATTGCAATATTGTTTGCATTACTTCCAGAAAGATGAACATTTTGAACAGAACCCAAAAGCAAAAGTACACCAACTGGAAAAAAGTCAAGTTTGTCATTTTTGAGAGTGGAACTTAATGTCTTTACATTCTCTCAGTTATTGTTTTCATCATTGTTACACATCTGGTTGATTTTTCCTAAATAATTTGTTATAATTAAATACATTTTTGATAGAATGAATACCTAATTTACTTTCAGAATCACTAACAAATCATCTCTAACTTCATGTTTTTATCAAATTTTATTGATAGCTGTTGTGAAAACATAACTTCATAGCATAATCTGTCATAAATCTATCATTAAAAAAAGTGAATAGTCCCACTGTTTTCAATAAGTACATTAGTAAGTGTAAAACTTATTCCTAAACCTGAATTGCTACTATTGTTCTCCTATTAAATCTGTTTATAATAAAACCCACAGAGTTTTTATTTTTTTATTTTATTAATCTAATTTTTAGATTCCTTACTTTCTAGAAAACCTAATTATAAAATCATAGTTTTGTTTTTGCCTTAGGTGTAATTACAAGAACAAGAGGCCAAAAAATACTTCACTGTTTCAATGTCAGCCTATAGGTAGGATGTCCAATTTCACACAAATAGAAATTTTCCCCCTTTCTCCTTCTCTGTCTGTATCTCCTTCACATAGCAGTCAAATATATGCTGACTGTGTGCAGTGTTGTTGCAAGCTCTGGCTACCATTGGACAGTATAATAAATCACCTCTGCTTTCTCAAACTCTCCTAATAGCACATGCAAAGTTCTCATTTTTGGTAATTGCGTAGCCAGTCTTACTAGATCACCCTACAATGATCACAATTGCATCAGCAATTTTGGTTTGCACGAGCAATTTAGCACTTCTTATTACAGATCTTAGTAGACCAGGGCCTTGGTATCTCCTAACAGGGAACTTAGCAAAAAATGCCATTATCACTAAGTTTTTCAATGATAAATCTAAAATATGTGTCCATATCAACACAAAGATGACTGACCGAAGACAATATAAAATTTTCTACATCAGTAAACTGGAAAGAGAAACACCAAACTATGAGATGATTTGTGAAGAAAAAAAAAAAGTGCAGGAAAATGGTCAAAGGACTGGAGGATCGAGAAAAATTGTGCAGAGAAAAAGCCAGAGATCTCTATTTTAACTCCAGTCATACAGTATGTGTTATGAAAAGATTAAGAGCGGTCCTGTTGTCAAATGCTTGTTGCCCAGAGTAATGAAATAGAGCCAAGAATATTGAAAGGAATACTAGCCTTAGTTTGCAAATCTGGACCATCATTTTGAAGGTAAAAAAAAAAATGCATAAAAATTAAGGCTAGATTTTTATTTTTGCTCGACATTCAGTATTAGAGAAATTGAATATGATTTTAAAGATGTAATTTACATCTTTACTATTGAATGTGGCTAGCACAGTAAGTCTGAAAATACTGATGTTTAATTCTTGCTAGTTGGTGTAGCACAACCAAATTGAGGCCTGAACATTCCTAAATAAGAATTTCACGCAATGATCAGCTTGTGCCTTTTTTAAATGATCAATACGTGTTTCATAGGACAGAAACCAAATGATCAACTCAACAACAGTCCGACTTACCTGTTATATAGGACTATATCAGGTCTCCATACATAACTACCAGGTATACGGATGGTATCGAGTCCATCGTACTCATCTTTATTCCATTTGAGGTGTGCATCAAACCACACTTGCCTTATCCATAGATATGCTGTCAAAATTTGATTTCGCTCATCCTGTAAAAACATTAGAAGGGGTATGAAGGGAGGAATAATGGCACAAGACATAAACATAGTACTGCAAAATATGTAAAGTAAAGTCAAAATACACTGAAAATATATAAAATATATATATATATAATAACACAGCTGCAGCCAGACAATTGCATTCAATTTGAACAGGCATAATGTGATTCTTTTTCATAATTTATTTGATCAGTCATTTTTTGTTGTGGAACATTAACGCAACTAAAAGACTAATGCTGCTTTTTCTACTAGCTGTAGACTTTCTCATTTGGTGTATCGATCAGTCCAGTCACTGCTGTCAAATAAATGAGTTTCTATATACCGGTAGCAATAAAAATTTTTTACATCCAACTGAGAAAAAACAGAAATGCAGCACTTGGCCTTTAGCACCACTTTAAAGTATGCATTGATTTATTTTATTTCATCACTGTTTGTAATGTTTTGCCCCACTCTATTTGTTCTAATCAAGTCACATTTGAATCAACTGCTTGTTTACGGGTATGTCACAGTGCCTCAGTCACATTTAATTTCAGACTTTGAACAGGACACTCTTAATTTAATCTATTTTAAAATACAAATCCTTTTATCTTTATGTCTTTAATCACATTTTTACAATGTTGTCTTACTTGCTAAAGCAGATTATATCGTCATAAATCCAAAACATTAGATACAAACATATATAAGTTCTTGGAGTCATGTCGGTAGGCCAGTCGCTCCTGAGATTAGCCTACAGATATTGCTCCCATTTGTCTCTTTTTGCTCTTGAGTTTTTTCTGATTTGTTTTCCTTCCAACCTGAGAAATTAACGGTTAAAATGCATCACAGAAAATGTAATGTTTGTGCTGCAGTATTTTACCATGTCAATAATTTGTGAGAGTGTAACCTGTAGAGTCACATTTAGGATTGTGTTTGTGTCCTCCACAGGCCTCAGCGCACTGGTGTAGTTGGTCATTAAATCTGTCAGGAGCTTCTGGGCATATTTGGCGTATGCACCCTCACATGCTTGGAAAGAGAGAAAAGAAGCAGACATGCAAAAGTCCTTGCAATAAATATTTTGTTGATTTCAATTGATCTTAAAACCTAAATGGCAAAAATTTTCAAACAGTCAGATTAAGTCCCTGTTTTTCACATTTTTAGAGCAATGACATGTTGATAGAGTAGGAGAGAAGGGAGAGACAGGAGGCAGAAAATGTGATAGCCTGACAGATGGGGGGAAAAGGGGAAGAGTGAATACTGGATTAAGCTGCCTTTCTGTAAACGTCGGAAGCAATTTAGAAATTTTGTTGATGTATCAGAAGCTTTTTGTAAATTCAAAATGAATGTATTAGGACATCATGTAGCAACGCATGTAAAAATGTATGAAAAGTTACTGCTCTGGCTACAGAAATGGATTTGCACTGACCAGATGTCGATGTCAACCCTAAATCATGGTTTAAATAAAGCCCCAGAGCTGGACAGAAATGTCTGTGGGATTATTTTACCACAATCTCTTATCAACCAGTCACTAGTTTGAAGACTCTGGAAATGGCTAGAGTATAAAAGAAGAGGAAGCATGAGAATAAGTGTATCCGGCTAAAAGTAAAACAAATATCAAGAAACAACAATTCCACACATTTGTTGGCTATTGATATGATTGATGCAATATGTTTTTCATTATAGGAATTCCTCTTATATATTAGTAATGAGATTAAAAATACATATTATCAGGTACACAATAATTCAAAGTCACTTGACTAGGTGAGGACATTCAAAACAACTGCCACGCTGAAAAAAAATAATGTAACTGTTTTTGGCATTTACTTAATCATATTAATCATAAGCAGATTTTTTTAATGTTAGCAGGTTAGGATAAAAAACAATTATGTAACTAAATATGATTAAGTATATGCCAAAAGCGGTTGCATTATTAGGCAATCCGACAATATCATACTGAAAGCTGAATGCAAGATGGAAAAAAAAAACCCTCTTCTTCTTAAAATGTCATTAAAGCACCTGCAGTAGGCTCCTGCATTTTTTGAGATACAATTTAGATACAGACCTTAAAAGTTAAGTTTTAAAGGAATTAAAAATCTTTGCTCTCTTAGAAAAACATAAACAGGGCTTCTGAAATGAAGTCCTTTGGAAATATACGTCTAGAATCAATTTCACTGGATGCAAAAGAGGACATCTTTAGCAAAAAATGATACAGCACTCAAACAACCAAAACAGTAACTAATCTGTTCCATTAATCATGGAGCTAAAGGTGTCATGGATTGTGAATGTCTTGCAATACTGGTAAAACCTCAAGCATTTCACAGCTTAAAAAATGAGGAGTGCACAAAACTTGGACAAAGCTAGAGCCTTGTAGATAGAGATACAAGAAGAAAATTCTTTTAATCAAAATATTTATTTTTCCTCAGATTTATCTTGAAATCTTCTTAATGTTGAGAAAAAAAGTGTTGGTTTTCCAGGAGGACTTGGCAACAACAACACCCCCAAAGTAAGTGGTGTCAATAGAGTTAGGCGGCATCTTTATTAATCTGGGAAAAAGTAAAGAGAAACTGATTTGGGGGTTTTAAATCAGAGTTAATATTAACAGAAAGAAATATATCCCTCTGTGTAATGAATCTGCAACATGATCAACACTGATAGAACGAAATAGGCCTATTTTAGGTTATTTGAATCACAGACGTAACTTTCTGAAGGACTGAAGTGGACGTGTCCCAACAATACTTTCAATAAATAGACTTTGGCTCTCAGCAATATGCGGGACTATTTTATAAATTAGATTTTGCTAATTTTGATGGAGGATAATCACTGATGTAGTTGAAAGGGAAAACATCCTGTTTTTCTGGATGATGAATGAAACTGAAATTGTATGCATGCATACTAGGAAGCATGATATATCGCTGTTGGCATCGGAATCGGCTGATATTCATCCTTTTTTTATATATTTATATACATTAATGTCTAACTACCCCTAATTATAAATACCAGTGTATTTTTTTCTGTTGTGTTCTCAACAATAGGAAAGCATTCAATAAATATATTTTTGAGCTCAATTTTGGAAAATACAAACCCCCTATTGAAAGTGTTTATGTTGAGTAACTGTAGGTTCATAAGCCCCCACCCTTAGTGTCCCCACCCTTGATTTGAATACACCTGTACACATGGGTTTAGGTTTGCATAGGGACCATAGGGACATGTCCCTACCAAAATTTTGGTAGTGAATAACATGTTTTCTTACAACACCGTGTTGTTACAGCAGTCACTTCTTTTCTCACAACTTGTTTATTGAAATCAATATTTTAAAAGCTCAGTGTCAGTTCCTCTTATAGTTCCTGCGCCCATGTAAATACAATAAATCTATTTCCAGTCCCTTGAATGTGTTTCTTTGCTTTGTTTTACAATACAGAGAATATCAGCATATCAGATAAAAAAAATAATAAGAGTGGGTTTTACCTCTGTTTGCCTTTGCACAATACTATTTCTTCAAAAGAAAACACATGATAAATACACATACAACAGACATATTTAGACTATATTTGGTTAAAAAGGCACATATCTACCTTCCGTCTTAGTCACTGGTAAGTTCAAATGTAACATTTTCAAAGTTTTAAGTTGTCCAAATTTTACATTATTCTGAGCCACTGATGCTTCAAACATTGATAAACAGCATATTGTGTTTAGTGGTTATAAAATGTGTATAAATGTAGCAAAAAAAAAAAATGCTGTTTTCTCTTTAATAAATAGGAGCATGCATAATGAGTAGGACCAATGGCATCAGACCAATTCAATTTAAGACCAATAGTATCCCTACCAAAGTTGGGATCAAACCTATACGCCCTGGCCAGTACAGAAAACATAAATCATAGAGAAACTTACCTGTAATGACACTGAAGAACAGAAACGATTGAAGTAAAGTCGAAAGTCTCCAGTCTACCATTTTTTACGCATATGATCTGCATCCAATAACCCTTTTTAATACAACTGTACTAAATAATAATAATCATAATAATATTTATTATTTATAATAATGTAGCTTATTCCAGCAGTAAACAGTGACCTTTGAAGGGAATATTTGCTCTGATGCTCGGAGCGGATTGTCGGATTATTAATCCCATGACGCAATCAATTCCATAGGCGTGCGCAATCTCACACATACATGGGATGTGCATGGTCCGAAACACAGTCGCACATAAATAAAGACAAATGATATGATAAAGCGATCATTTGGATTTTATTGCTCAATTTGTTTTCAGTAATTCAGCGCAAGAAACAAACCCCGTGTTTTTTGTTTTTTTTTTTTTTTTGTTTTGTTTTTTGAGTGCGTGCATTCGCGTTTTCATTCTCTCCTTTGATCAGTTACTTAAAAAAAATCCTCATATTTTGAAACCTGTGTATTATTTTGACACATCTTATCCCTGCCCCCCGCCTTCTCTTCCGGAAGCTGCTCCTCTCCTCCCCCTCATGGTTTTCCTCCTCCTATCTTCCACTGGATGACTGCAGCATCCTAAGGCCTATTTCATATCTGCCGGCTGTCATAACTGAATATTTGAAGAATAACCTCTCAAAATGTAAGCAGGCTGGGTAACATCCCAGTCTCCTATTCCTAGCTGGAAGGGAACAGAGATTTCCAGCTGCATCGCGCATCATCGTTATTGTTAAGCCAACTGAAGCGACTGCTGGGAAATAGTGAACTGGGTGGAGGTAGGGTGGATGCATTCAAAAAATCATAAACGATTTTTTTTTTTTATAAACACAGATATTTTAATGCAAAGGTCTTGAAATTGCATGCACACTAATATCCTGATGTAGTAACTCCAATATATCTCCCATTTTTATAATATAAAGTCACTTTTTTTTTTTATTTATTTATTTTTTTTTTTATCCTTGCCCTTTTGCAGGGTAAGATGATCCAAGGCTCAAATATTTTGGGTTATGAGAGGCCCCTGGTCATCAGGATATCATTTGCTACTTGTATTGCGGTTACTGTGTGCCTACCACTATTAGGACTCATCACCTGCATCTCTATATCCTCTCTTTTTCACTTTGAAGATGCTACTGGTACACACTGCCAGGTAATTTCCATTTTAACAGATAGATAGAAACATCATATATATCTCCAGGTGTTTTGCAGTGAAAAGAAAGTATTAAATATTTTTTAAAAATGCGAGGAATTAATTTTCTTTGATGAGATATTGCTTATATTACATAAAAATCTTATTTATAGAACATTGTTTTCCCCATATTACATTAATCTAGTCACAAACAAGGAGGACCCCCCCCCCCCAATATATTTCACTGTAACATTATCCAACTGCAGTTGGCCTTTAAAAATCCTGTTTCTTATTATTATACGTGTTACATGTAGACTTCTACAACAGTGTAAAAGCAGAAATCTCTCTCACTATGTGTCTGTCTTCAGGTTTCCAACTACCTACCATCAATCAGTGCCTCAATCAGTCTCAGTCCTGAGTGCCACATATGGCGGTTCTGCATTGGACTTCACTCTGCTCCAAGGCTCCTGGTTGCCTTTACCTACTTCAGGTTTTATAAGAGCCGCTTTGCTGCCAGGTCCTTAGAGAGCACCCTCAGCTGCTTTAACTTAGCCTTTTCCATTTCTGAGAACCTGGGCCTTCTGCTTCTCACATATGTGTCGTCTACTGAAACATACTGTAAGTAATCCATATACAACATACTTCTATACTTTTATTACTATTTTAGAACAAATAGTGTTCTAAATCATCAAGGAGCTTTTATCTGACCATGCTATCTTCTTACCTCCTGTGCAGTTGTGCATAAGGAGGGTTTTGTCCTCTTCATTGTGAGTTCTCTTATCTACATGCTGATAACCTGCCGTTTGTGGAGAACTATTAAGAAGTACTCTTTGAGCCCTGAGGTAATGAATAATAAATATTGAAAATCTTAACACTAAATCCTCCTATTTTAGTTGCAGTTTTGAGTCGGATTGTGGTGTTTTTTCTTAAAGGACGCCAAGTCTCATTATTGGAAAGTTCGCTTCTTGCTCCTCAATGTTTGCTTCTGTGCTTTTGCTGGATTCTTCTACTGGAAACACAACATCTACTGTGAATCAGGAAGTAAGTCTTACATTACCTTACATTTATTATGTAATAACAATACAACTGACATGGAATATTTAGCATGCCTAAAGGTACAGTGGAGGATTTTTGTGAATTTTTTAAAAGACCCACCCTCTCCACTTTAATAGAAAAATGCGAGAGCGTGCACGAGCCCATTTCTCCTCTGTACACTCTGTTTAAAAGTTGCTGTTTGCATCGCTCATACAAGCTTACTTTCCAAAAGAAGATTTGCAATTTTTCCACGGTGTCAGAAGTGAAAATAGGGGACGAGCACGTAGGACGGCCTTACGTAAACATATCACCAGAATGATTGGCAATTAGGAGGACCACTTATTTAGATGATCCATCTGGAAACAGAACATCCTCCACTATACCTTTAATTATTTGTACTGTATTAAACACAAAATAGTCCACAATTGTTACGTGAAAGGAACATTATTCATTGTTTTGTAAAAAGAAAAAGTACGGCGTGGATTTGCATTCAGCCTCCATTTGCCAATATATCCTAAAGCTTTAGGTGCAGCTTTAAAATTTTATGGCATGTCTCAATCAATTGTAACAGCTGCAATGTTTTTTAGTTGACATCTATTTATCAGTTTCCATACGCTTCATATTTAGACAAATTTTTGCTCATGTCTCACAAAAGTCCCAATCTTACAAATGCAATTCATGGTTGTAAATGAACAAATTATTCATGAATATATATATGTTTTTACCAAAAAATGTATTTGCCTTTTAAACAGTATAAAATAGTGACCAACTCATGTCTATGATTCTGAATTGTTAACAGGTTACACGTTTTTTGCCCTGTTTGAGTACCTTGTGGTCTTCTCCAACATGGCCTTCCATCTGACAGCAGTGTGGGACTTCAAGAGTCGGGAGGTTGTGGTCATTTCCAACTTTGAAGATAAAGACTTCTGACTAGAAACTAAAGAAAGACGTGATACATCTGCAGGCATTAAAGCAGCGGATGACGAGAGCAGTGATCCAGTTGAAGAGGACTGGGATGGGCTTTTTCACATATTTTCCTGAGGACAATTCTTAAATGATTAAAGTGTGTCAATGTGAGTCAGGTGCAAAACGATTATGCACACATATACACTTGAGGGATTAATGAACAAGTCTTGTTCTAATGTTATTCCTATGGATTGCTTTAATTTCACTCATAATATTCAGTGATGTGAAATGTTTGTTTTCTTTTCAAGCACAGCAAATAAGTGATGATACTGTATGTCTGCTAAAGTGCAGTAGATGTCTTTTTGTAAGGTCAAGACTGTCAGAATCCGTTGCTGTCAACATGGTATTTGATATCACCAAATATAGTATTCAGGTTGAGATCTAAAGAACAATGTTCATCTCTGTTTTATTGTGTTTCAGTCGCTTTTTTAGGGCCAACACAATAATGTTTCTCTCTTCAAGAACTAAATAACTGTTTCATGTTTCTTAAATACTAGAATCATAATGACTTTAAATAATCATTAATTAAAAGGCATATATATATATATATATATATATATATATATATATATATATATATATATATATATATATATATATATATAGACTGCCAAATTGGTAAAACGTAAACTGATTTCTGTGCGTCATTGATTATTTGAGGCTGAGGGGGATTAAAAAGCTGTTAAATTCTACCTGTGCTGTAAAACAGATATTATTTCTCATAAGACTAAATTTAGTTTCAGAATTTCTAAGCCTTATTAAGACCGAGTTTATATCTGAGTTCCGGCGATGAGAGTCCAGCTTATTGTTGAACCTGGCTTCAAGAGAAGTGCAGCTTTCGTCCCAGCAGTTTAACTTTGAACCAGCTTGCCCAGAGTTTGCCCAACTGGTGCAAATGTACTTTGTGGACCTGTAAAATGCATTCAACCATGTTCCCCATCTTACTCTTTATTAGGTGCTTCAGGAGAACAGAGTCTGGGCCTTTTTGCAGTGTAAAACACTAAAAGAGTGCATGTGGTCCCACTCGGAATTAGCGTTAAATTAGAACTCTATGTAGTGTATATTTTACTCCAGTTGTTGTTGTAATAGCTCTAAAGGAATGTACTTTGACACTGCCTATTTAATACAGTAGAATTTACTGTGTAGGCAGCCATCCAATATGCACAAGCTGGGTCTGGTTTGTATTGCTAGTATTGAGTAATGGGCGAAGCTTGGAGTAGAGCCACCTCTCCAAGTAGGATGGGCTCAGACGTCTGTTTCTCATGGGCGTCCCAGCAGAAAGAAGCTCAGAGCAGTGCCCAGGACACACTGGAGGTTCTCTCTGCTATTTCTGGAAGGCCTTGCAACCCTGAATAAAGCACCGGATAATGACAATGAGTAAGAATTAATGGGATTTCAAACAAGATTTGTATCTTTAATATGAATATTTGAATCTTAACCATGAATCATAAGTTGTTGTTTTTTTTTTTGCTATCGTGACACAACTTTTTCTGAATCAAAATGCCACAAAAAGATGCTGTCTGACCACAGCCCACAATAGTATAAACAGCATCTCCAACCAGAATCATTGACTGCTCTGCCCCTGAGATCTGAAAAGAAACAACACAGTCTGTGTAGCAAAACGGCAAGGTTCCACAACAGCTTTCTCCCTGACTTTAATAGTCTTTTGGACTCAAATTACGGCACTCATTGCCTCACACATTCTTTATGAGTGTTCTCAACAACCAACCAGGATACTGCTGATAATTGGTTCTGTCTCAGGGTTAAACACACCGCCATGTAGTTTTTAATTCTTAGTATTTTTGTCATCAGTTGTTTTTTCATTTCTTTTCTTAATTAGATTTGGGGGTATATATATATATATATATTACAATCCAAAAAGTAGAAAATTAGCCCTGAATTTCCCTTCAATTCAAATTCTCTAATTGACTTAATATGCACTGCTAACGCTCATTTAACCTAATCATAAATGCCCTTTTATTGCTGACAGTGTTTTTTGTTAAATAAATAATATAATACAAGGATCTAAATAATCATATTTAGTTGAGCTGAACTGTAAAATTATTTGGTTAAATTACTGCAATGTTTTATCCCGTCCATTAGATGGCGCAATTTTACAGTACATGCATGGATATCATGGATGGTGTTCGTGATGTCAATTATACACTCAAGCCGCTAGATGGCAACATAGGTCGTCCTTGACCGGTGCTCCTTCCTCCGAGCAAGAAGAGCTTGCTGCGGCTTTTTTGGTTCAGTAGTCTGTAGGCTGCCTGAAGACCGACAGCTCTACCAGGAGGTGGAGTACCGTAGCTCTTCAACTCCGCGGGACCAGACATTTGCAGCTATGTGGTTATTGAGCTGAAATCACACATTTGCTGACTGTAATAGATGACAGGTAACTTTTATTTATATTATCTTCACGGATATGATACAGTTGTTATTCTAGCTGAAACTACAATTGCTGCTTATTGTTTAGTGTTCGCGGTTAGCTACACGTCACCGGTGGTCAATGTGCAGCTGAAAATAATTCCGTTTGGCGACAACATTGTAGACATAAAAAAAATACACAGCTTGTCGTTGTTGAGCTGTGAGAATTATATATGGTTAATTTTTACTCGAAATTACTTTGTACTCTTTGCTCGTTATCCGAGTTGTTAGCTAGCTAGCCTGCCGTTGGCTTAACAGACATCCAGCCAGAAGAAGCAGAAGGTGCAGCCTGCTGACACTTTCTAGGCTTATTTCCCTTTTGAATTAGCATGCTTAATAGACCATGGTTCACGGCAGTTACAAGGCACTTCCTGAATGAAAACCAAACTAGCGGCAATACTAATGAAATGTGAGGCAACCCCACAAAACTCTCACAATTTACCTTAAAAATACTCTAATTATTAGCTCTGATTTTAGGTAAACCGGTATGAATTACGTATGAGTAATATCTTCGATCACACCAATTTTGTGTTTGGTTGTTGCTGTTGGAAAATGGGGTAGTAATCTTCTAATCTTGAGGTAATTTTCCTGTTTTTAGATTATGAATTCTTTATTTTAAAAGTATCGATAAAAATATTCCCGTTTTTATTTCATTTTAGTAGCTTATTTCAAAATGTAATTTTAAGCTGTCAGTTTTAAGAATCTAAAATACATCTGGATCTATTTTGAATGAAACTTAAGTAATAACAAGGGTTCTGTTTTTGACATATTTGTTATATAGTAACTATATTTGCATCTTATTTAAATAAGGATCATCTTTATCAAGTTTTGAAGTGACTATGGACTTTGTGTGTTCACAATTTATGAAGTTAAATGCTGACATATTGGTTATTGAAATCAGTTATATACTATTATATAGAGAATTTGTATTGCTCTCTGTTTTATCCTGTATATTGACTATAATCCCAAGTTTGAAGTTTGACCCCATTGAACAGATTAGGACCTCTGATCAAAACAACCTTCAGCTGTATACGTGTGTTAGAGTCGTATAACTGATTTCCGTACAGCAGACCATGAGTTGACAAACATGCCTCGAGTCTTCGGTTATCAAAGCAGGGGTAAAATGCCATCCTGCTTAGGTATGATTTGTCAAAATGTCTGCTCAAATCCTCTTTTGGTAAATGTAACTAAATATACAAAAGGTGTAACAAGACCATAACTGCTAAGGTGTGAAATGGTAAAAGGTTAAAGTTGAAAAAAGACCTCCATAATACTGCTTAAAATACAAAAATGACATCTTAAACACTTGAGTTGCTTAAAAGTGTTATACATTTTGAGAATGTCACAATTTGATAATCGTTCTTTTTCTTTTTACAGCATCCTAAAGACATGGAGCTTCTTAAATCTGTGACCTTGTGGATATTTTGTCTGTGCCTATTTGGAGAGTGTGCATCTGAAAAGCAAAGTTCTCCAACAGTGGATGGTCAAAATGGTGAAAGCGGAGTGTCCGGTGAGTAGTTATTCATTGCATTAATATTTTGTAAGGTCGTAAATAATATACCAGGTTGACACATGCACAGTATAGAGTGACAGTGTGTTACAGTTTGTGCTACACCTTTGTGATCTAGCAGGCACTAAATGTAGCTATGCTGAGAATAGTACAGCTGGCATTTGCTATTAAGCCCTGACCTCCAACTTAGAACGAGCCACCAAGTCAGACTGAACATAATAATGCTAATGCTTACGAGATGAAATTAAAAGTGACAGATAAAGTCGTAGGGAAGTCATATTTAAATGTCAAACAATTCTGTACTCTTTATCAGACCATATTCTCCTACAAGTTAGAAAATTTCTATAAAAAAAGATCTGTCTTAAAATCTATGTGGGGTTTTTTCTCGCTATTTTATGCAGGCCAGTTAGTTATACGTCAGCTTGTACTCCTAAATTCAGCCAATCATATATATCAACGGTCAAATTATATATCATATATAAAAAAAAATTCGGTCATAGCTTGATTCATATGTCGCAGTTAGTATATGCAACGGTTGAAATAAGAATCATTAAATTTACTATTGAGTTACGTTCCAGTGTTCACAGGGATGGATGTCTGTGTCTTTGGCAGGCGTAGAGCTAACAGAGCTGGCAGAATTGTGAGGCAAGGGCTCAAACATGTAGGGCTGTAAGCCTTCTACACCAAAGCAACCTTCTGGCTCCCTATCATCCTCTTCCACAACAAGTTTGTCCCCGTTTTCCTCCTCTAAATAAAAAATGTATGACGGAGGAGACTCATCAACAACCTCCGACAAAAAACTCTGCTCCTCTTGCATGTTTTCGCTGACAACATCGTTGCTATATGCTACTTGGTCCCAATGCAATTTCCCATTGGCAACCTACTAGCACGAAGTTGCTAACTGGTTAGCAAGATGCTTCCGAGACACCAGCCACTACCAAACTTGCTTGCGAACCTTCCATCAGAACAATCCCGCCCCCTTGATAATCAACCAATCACATTTACTTTATTCACTCGTGTAAAGTCGGGCACCACTTGGGAGAATTCGGAACTGCAACGTTTGGAACAGCTGCTTCCCTATGATATTAAGTTCAGATATTAAGTTCAGATTGTGAAAATCAGAAATTATATCCTAGGTTTGTCTTTTATCTTTATGAAATTTGCATGCCTGAGTTAAGACATAGGAACTTTATATGAATGACAGTAACTTCTCTGTTAACCGTTAATTATGAACTGTGTGATAACTTGGCATTAATTTGGGTGCTGCAACATGGCTTTAACTTCTCCTCAAGGATTTTGCACTACTTGTTTGCACAGGTTTGGTTTTGGTCTTTGTTATTCTTGCTGAGCAGACGGTTAGAGTGAGAACAGCTCCTTCTTTTTAATCACATCTGTTGCACTCTGACTGTAAAAGCTGAAAATTAACGATTGCAGTCTGATCAGGCTTAGTGTGTGAAGGTTTTGATTTGAAAGAAAATGCTCCAGCTTCCTAAATGCATGCTGAATGCCTTGTAGATTATAACTGTTGCTGTATTAAGGTGGCAAAATCAAAGAGTGCTGTTGGTCTTGCAGGCACACAAAGTAGTTTACGCAACTTGAGCTCTTACAAAAAAAGCTGACTGACTGGTATGTAAATATCTTATCTAGTGTCTCTGGATGTTTGCAAACCAAATGGAAAAAAAAAAAAATAATCCCAGGTTTCGTGTGTGAGACTTTCTCAGGTGGCAAACTGTTTTTTTTCTTCTTCCCTGGCATTCTGTCGTTAAACACCGAGAGTGAGAATGCCTTTGTTTTTTGTGGTATGTGGCTTCACAGGTTTAGTGAAGGGGAAGCTTGCATGCAGTTGCTCAAAAATTAACACTTTGTTACTGAGGTGTAAATTTCTTTGCTCTGGTTTAGTGTTTCAGATTGGCAGTGTAGTTGATGCTGTTTACATATGTGTTTTAGTGGTATTTGGCTGAATATTGGCAAATTTTTTTTTTAACTCAGTTTAGGCTATTTGTCAAAATCATGCTGTGTAAGATTAACAGCTTTGTTTGTAGGATAATCAGGGTTTCATTATATATAACTTATGTAAATTGGTAGCTTTTGACCAGTAGTGTGCTATTAAGGATTAACAAAACACAAAGAAACGGGATCAGAGAATTTTTGTAGGTCTAGCCTCAGTCCAACTTAAAGAGGAAGTTGGGTTTGTTTTTTTTACCAAGGTGACATTATATTACAAAGGTCATTAAAAGCAACTTTGAAAGCAGTCATAATTTTGGAAGAACTTCTGTCGTAACAAAAAATCAGTGCATAGAATGCCCCAAATCATTTAAAACAGGAATAAAGCACAGATGTCATGAAACTGCAGTATTGCAATATGAAAATGTCTGTTACAAATGTTACTACAAAAGTTTGTGGTCAATGGTGAAGCCCAAACTGGGCTCTCTGTTTGATATCTAAGCCATCAGTTTTCCCTGACAAGGCCACTCTCCTCATTGACCCTAACCTTTATGATCCTCATTCAAGGATGTTAGGGAAATACTCCCATCTTTTTTACAAGCGTAGATAAAGATCAGCAGGTATAGGACTTTTTAAAATAAAAGACGTACAGAGGCTGTCAAACATTATTAACTTGCTTTAAATTTATGTGGGCATATGTTGGCTATTATTGCAATGCTATGAAAAAGTATCTGCCCCCTTGCAGAGTTTTTATGTTCTTGCTTTTCTGTATCACTCATGTGACAAATGTTTTATTTTAGTAAACCTTTAGTTACCTAGAAAGCCCCTATATTTTTTATAAGAAAGTCTTTGTCAAGAAGATGGATATTTACAAGCTACAAGGTAGAAGATTCAAGCTACAATTTTGTTGAGGGAAAAAAAAAAAATCCAAACCAACCTGGTTTGTTTGGAAAAAAGCATTGCCCTCTTGTTATACCATCTTATTTACAGTTGGGAAAAAGTACTTTTTTTTTTTTCTTGCAAGATGCCTGATTACTGCCAGATTTGAAGAATCTTTATTTGAAGAAAATTATTTGCCATATAAAGTAGGCAAATAAATCTCAATAGCAGCGCTTTATTCAATAATCAAAAAAATGTAAAAGTAGATAAGAAAAAAATATATCAAAATGATTTATGTGGATATTCATGCATTTTTGTTTATAAATAATAAAGCTATTTTGCATGCTTCATCCACCTTCGTTGTTGATCCTTACTAGGGCTGAACAATTAATCAGATTAATCATAATTAATCGGTTATTGAAATAATCAACTGATTTAGTAATAGATTTTTCGTTACTGGAGCATAGAGACTCTAAAACATGCCTTTAGCTGCCAGAGCAACCACTTGGAGCAGTAATTATCTAAAAATTGTAAAATAATATATAGAAAATTTGCATTTAAGTAAAAAATAATGTTTTCGTCTGTCGAAATGCTATATCCAGAACTCTTCAAGTGGAAAAGTTTTAGGTTCTCTTGGTTTAATTTTGTAAAAAATCTTTAAGGAACCTTTGTACGACGGAGTATTAGGGCCACACATGAAGAGAAAAAATATTTTTGCCATTACGAGATTAAACTGTCGACTTTAAACTCGCCATTTCGAGAATAAAGTTGATATATCGTGGCGACTTTAATCTCAACATTCCAAAGTTTGGAGAAAAGAGCAACCGCGCTCCACAGCTGCAGTCTGCGTTTTAAGAGTGAAGGTAGTCTTTGACGTGCTGCAACTGTATAATCATCACAGGAAGCGGTGGCCTACAAATAATAACGTACCGGTAACGTCTTTCCCTATGCTTACTTAGGCTCGCAGTTCTGAATTTGAGAACATGTCAGTCATTTCAACTTTATTCTCGAAATGGTGAGTTTAAAGTCGACACGTCGAGATTAAACTCAACATGACATTTCAGCTTTATTCTCGACATGTCGACTTTAAAGTCGACATGTCGAGTTTAATCTCGTCATGGCAAAAAATTTTTTTCTCTTCATGTGTGGCCCTAATACTCCGTCGTACCTTTGGCTATCCGATTATTAATTGATTAATTCAAAAAATAATCAACAGATTAATCAATTTGCAAAATAATCATTAGTTGCATCGTTAGGTTATCTGAAGGCACTTTAGCACTATCTTTTTAAACATAACTACTTCAACTGTAAGGTTGTGTGTTTTAAATGGAAACAGCACTATGAAGTATTTATGTATTGTCATGGTAACGGTCAAATATTTTCTCATATTTTCCTTACAATGGTGCAGCCCTGCTGCAGACCTCACTTTATCTCAGTGTTTATAACCTGAATGATTGGCTGTAATTGATAGATTTCTACTGTCTACCAGAAAATTGTCAGGGAGCATTTTAGCAAGTGGTTTAAACGCACTGGGATTATTCAGCAAAGCAATGATACAAAGCAAACAAGCTTGTTCATCAGAATGAGGGTTTCTGAGTGGCCTAGAGAAAGCATGGCCTTGAATTCAATTTAGATGCATCAACTTCACTTTAAAATACTCCTACAAAGAGCGGCACAACCACTTTAAGGTTTACTGGGCAATACAGTTTTTACATAGGGCCAGGTGGGTTTAGGTAACCTTTTTTTCCTCAATGAATGAAATTCTCATTTTGCGTTTAGTATTTGTGCAGGTTACCTTTAACTAAGATAAAAATTTGTTTAATCTTAAAAAAAATCTTGTTGTCCAAAAGCTCAAAAACGTAACAATTATGTAAGGGGACAAACCATTATCCTACAAAGCACTGTGTGTAGACTATAATGCCATTATAGTAATGTCATAACCTTGCCCTGCAATTGCACGCCATCAAATTATGTAATGCCATAATGATGTGGTTCCTGTGTGTCTGTGGAGAGCCCCATTTTTTTTCTCCCTATTTACTCCTCAGATCTATGCTGCATTTATAATATACAGAAAGTACTGTGGAGCTACACACTGGGCGTTTAAACTAATTAGAAAAAAGGCGAGGTTTTGCAAAATTGTTCATAGGAAGTTAAAAGCCTCTGCCCATTTTATGTAATACAGGATTGTGATAATGGAAGAAAAAAAATTAAGGTCCACAATTTTAAAGACTGACCTCTAAGTAGCGGATGCCTTAGATCTGACAGCTATTACTTTACAGACATTTATGGCAGATACGTTCAGATAATTCAGTGGGGTTCTTGGTTGAACAGAGACAGACTCAAATGCTTAATATTAACGATGCTTTCTCTGTAGACAAGGAATTTTGTCGTTGGTTATTTAGATGGAAAGGGCTTCTGTTAAAGAAGAATGCCTTTTTCTAACATCTTTTCGAGATTAAAAGAACAATTACATCACAAAGTAACTTTTGGGATTATTGGTATTTTTCATTTTTTTTATTTATTTGAGCAAATAAAAAAATACAATGAGAGAGAAGAAGAAACTGTACAAGTATACAAACATAGTTGCAAACATAGCACATTTGCTCAAAAGGAGTATGAAAAAGGTCAAAGCTTTTAACAAAAAATACCAATGTTGAATCACAAGTCTCAAGAATACAGAAGTATGACATATGTTACATGCATAAATGCAGAACTCAATATATACTTTACGGACATATTTATAGCAAATCTTTTTGCTCTACTGTTCATTACTCATAGTGTATCATTCAAGCATGCATAAGCGCCTATACACAATGGTGTAAATGTGTGTACGCATACCAGCAGAGAAGATGGCTTTAATGATTAATAGGAGCCATTTTTCACAATGGATATACTTACAGGCATGCATACAATGCATGCCTTTGTGCATCAACTAAATCAGACAGATATAATAAAGCCAGTATGCTATTTGAATGATCCTGAAAATTCATAATCATCATCATTTCTTATCCTTTGCATATTTATCAAATACATGGTTTTTGAACCTACTTTTGAAGAGATTGAAGTTTAAGTGTTCTTTAAAGTCGTAGGGAAGTCATATTTAAATTTCAAATCATCCTGGCCTAAACTTGTATATAAATGTACTCTTTATCAGACCATATTGTCCCAAAAGTTAGATAATTTCAAATAAATAAAAAAAACTCAGTGAATTTTTTTTCTTTTTTATTTGTTTTTCTGTTATGCAGGCCAGTTAATTATATGTCAGCTTGTACCCCTAAATTCGGGCAATCATATATCAACTGTCATCTGTCAATACAATTTTTTCGGTAATAGCATATTGATTCATATGTTGCAGCTAATATACGCAACGGTTGAAATAAGAATCATTTACTTTACCACTGAGTTACATCCCAGTGTTCACGGGGATGGACGTCTGTGTCTTTGGCAGGCGTAGAGCTAACAGAACTGGCAGCTTTGTGAGGCAAGCGCTCAAACATGTACTGCTGTAAGCCTTCTACACCAAACCAAGCTTCTGCCACCCTGGCGTCCTCTTCCACAACAACTTTGTTCCCGCTTTCCTCCTCTAAATAAAAAAAAAATTATGACGGAGGAGACTCATCCACGACCTCCGACACAAAACTCTCCTCCTCTTGCATGTTTTCGCTGTCCATAGCGTTCCTTGACAGTATCATTTCTAAGTTTCAATTTAGTGCTACTTGGTCGCTATGTAATTTCCCATTGGGAACCTACTAGCACTAAGTTGCTAACTGGTTAGCAAGATGCCTCCGAGACACCGGAGGCATCTTCAAATTTGCTTGTGGACGTTCCGCCACAACAATCCTGCCCTCTTGATAAACGACCAATCACGTTCACTTTATTCACTCTTGTAAAGTCGTGCACCACTCGGGAGAATTCAAAAATGCAATGGTTGGAACAGCCGCTTCCCTACGACTTTTAATACAACTTTCCCACATTTGTAAAAAATTCAGTCGTGAGCATTTTTGGCAATCTTTCAGAGGCTTTTATTTTGGATTATTTATATTTTATTTTATTGTATTGACCAAAGTTAAGAAAACTTAAGTTTTTGCCTTTTAATCCAGCCCTACAACATTGCAAAAACATCAGATTTTCTTAAAAAAAATGTGTCTTGAGACCATCAGTGGGAACAAAGGCTAAATGTCAGATTCTTTGTGATAAGCCAACCTTAGACTCTAGACCAACCTTGAAATGGTTAAAAACCAAAACAGAAACTTCTGCTCACTGGACGAAAGTCCTTTTTTTCTGATAGAAATGGATTTGACTTTCTTTTAAGGATTTATTTTGCAGAACCAGAAGATAAGTGGAGAATCCAAAGTTCTTTGAGTTCCAGGAAAAATTGTCTGTGATTTATTATTTGAGGAGCCTTTTGTATTGCTAGTTTTGGTTAATCTATTAAATGGTGTTTAATGGTCTCCTTTTAAATGATACAAAACTTGGCTGTCCATTCTCTATAAATTGGAATTGTTAGCAACCAGAAATAATCAGCTCATATATGTTACAATGTACTGCAACCACAAAGATGTATACTAAATCTTTAATTGAGATACATGTGTTCTCATAAATTAAAGGCATTTTTTTCACAAAGATATTGTTTGTCTAAACTTAGAAATGTTAGTGTACTTTTAGCTGTTAAGAAGAAATTTTTTAATGTTTTTTGTTTTGTTTTTTTTCTCAGATTTTTGTCGTATCGATGAACCACTATGCAAAGATGACAACGCCATCCTCACCTTTGAGGCTATCCGTAGTATCCATAAGCAGATGGATGATGACGCAAACGGCAATGTAGACGTAGTAGAGACAGATGGAGTAAGTACTTGAAAATCACACATCAAGAATGGAATCCTTATCGAAGAGATTTTTATTTCATCTCTAAATCCAGTTCTAGAGATCACGTGTCCAGGAGCCTTTAGATGTGTCCTGGTCTAACACACCTGAATTAAATGGCTGAATTGTCTCCTCGTTATGCATTTCAGAACTCTGCTAGTTACCTGATTATTTGACTCAGGTTTGTTGAAATGAGTACTGGAGTTGACAACCCCTGCTTTAAAATGATTTTTTTTTTTTATTATTATCTTTTTGCTTTCTACATTTTGCTCTTAAATTGTCAAATTAGCATAGCTTTACAAAGGTCTAAAATTAGCAGTGGTATCTGAAAGATTGACCCCATTTGTTGCTCCAGTAATGTTTTTGCTGAGGGTTCTGTCAAATAATTAACCAAACGGAGACAATAATGTTCTAGTAATGACCTTCCTGCTGCTTGTTGTTAGTAAAACATTTTGCTGACTGCTTTTCCTATAATGCTGCTGCATTACTAGTTATGTTCTAGTTATTATGAAGGCCTGAGAAGTTCAGTTTGTTCCTTCACACATGTCAAAGTTTGCATAAGAATCCTCGTAGACAGTTTAACATATGTATTAAGATTTAGCACAAACTAGGGCTGAGTAATGTGACTAAAAATAGTTGTTAGTATTTTGAGAATTATATTTTTGTGTTTTTTGTGTATTGAACTTTAAGAAAACTAATTTGATTTTGATCAACATCAAAGATTGTTGCAGGATTTCAAGAGTAGAGTTTGGATCTGGATTATGTCAGACATTTTATTATTTAGAATATCCAATTATTTTGGCCCTAAGTTGTTAAATCCTCCTACAACACTTTGTCAGGAAGGACCATTATGGTGGCTTATTACCCTCTTTTTCTTATGTTCACTTTACAATAGTAGGAGTACTATGTGGGGCTCATTAAAAAAAAAAAAAAAAAGTAGAAAAACTGTGTCGGTGGTTGGGTGGGTGGTTTGGCCTAAAATCAAGTGAACAGTCATTATTGAGGCTTTAGAACCAGTCAGGTTATGACTGCCATTCTGGTGGTTTTTTAAAATGATTTATCTACTTAAAACCCAAAATACCTTGCAACATTTTATGAGTGCAAAATAAAGTAAAATGTAAAATAATAGTAAAATTAACCTCAATGTTACATGATATGATTACATGAAATCACATTGAATCAGTTTTAATTATTTCTTTTTGTTTACTAGATGGAGGTGGGTGACATAAACTCTAGGGAGTTTATTCAGTACTCCTTGTTTCCATCTCTCTTTGACTCATAGATTGAAGGAGGTGTTGGCAACATTCCTCAAAGATTTTTGTCCGTATTGACATGATGGCCTTGTGCATTTACAAACCACCCACTAAACCACCAGCTAGGCATGGACCAGTTACCAGTTTCCCTTTATACCACGGTTTCAAAACCACTCAAGTTTTCAGTCGTACCATTTTTTACATACATGTATAAATGTAATCAGAAAGAGTGAAGAGGTTGGGAGCAGCAGCAGCAGCATCCCGACCCCTCCCTTAACACTGCACAGTGTAGCTGCTAGCTCTAAAGGTTGTATGATGGATGAAGGAGAGGAGAACCTCAAACCTCCCCAACCTTGGATTTTTTTAATTGTGTATTTGATTAGTTTTAAAGGTCACATATTATTCTACATTTATAAATGCTAAATATTAACAATGAGGCCTTTGGAGCATATTTTTACCATTTCCGCAGGAAAATTCCTGTTAGATTAGATTAGACAAGCAGCCTTTACCAAAAATCTCCTTATTCAGCTGTCTTCTAAAAGAACTGTTTGGCTTTCCTCACCCCTGTCCTCTCAAAGACTGGTACCCGCAACCATGACAACCAGTCAGAGTTCATAAAGATAGCCTTAGAATAAGATAAAACATTTGATGAAGGCCATAGCTTGACGGATGAGCTGCTCCAGAACATTTTGGACATTTTACTTCCTGGTATGGCATCATAAGCAGAATGCTTTACAAGCAGAGCGTTCTGAGGTTCTATGAGGTGGAGAAAGGCAATGATTTATTAATCTCATTTACAGGCTTCAGGATACATCTATTATAAAATGTTTATGTGAGTTTTCTTAATATAGGATCTAAAAGGGATTTAAAAGTACTTAATCCTTCTGTGACTGTAGCAGCTCATTCTGTGCATTCATTGTAATTTCTGTTTCTTCTAAAAGTGTTCTAAAAAAATGCTTACATTGTCAAGTTATTTATGATTCTAGTGATTATGCTGAAGATCAAGAAGCATTCAATAATTTTCCTACTTTTTAATTCATGCATGTCATTACACCAGAATTTAGAGGTGTAATCATATTATTTTATTTTTGCTTTTGGTTATAATACCATCAGAATATCAAACCGGTTCATGCCACCAGCAACACAGGTTTTTGTTTAGTTTTTTTATTGATCCCTAAATCCCACAGCAGTGACGAAAGGCTCACCTTTGTCACTAAATCCACGTGTTGCTCTATACAGTGGCCTTTTTGTCAATGAAAAAACAATCTAAATATGAGTGTTTGCCCTCATTCTGAGCAGGTTAATAAAATGATTTGCCAATGGAATTAGCATGTTTGCTCTTAATATAAATAATGATATATACTATTATATACTATACACTTGAAATAAGACAATGCAGTTGCTATTTTTTCTTATTTTAAATGTAATTTATGTTATTGACTCACTTACCCCCTCGATTCAATAATAAATGCACTTATTTTATAAATTTTTGTTGCAGTGTATTGATGGCAGAGATCATGGAATATAATTATCTTTAAGTGATCAGTTTGAGGTGATTTTAGCTTTGTGACATTGTGCGTTATTATAGTGAAGATCTGCCACCAGAGGATGAGTACACCGTGTTCAAAACTGGGTGGACATGGTCAGCAACAGTACTTAGAAGCTGTGGAATTTACACAATGCTCTATTTATGATAAATGGTCCAAAGTGTGTCAAGAACATTTCCCACACTATCGCAACACCACTACCTTTAAGAATCATCATAAGAGACAGGATGTATCCATTTGTTTTTATTATATTCATGCCAAATCCATAAGCTACCATTTATGTTGCAGTAGCGGTTGAGACATCTGATAATCCGTTGCTTTTCGAAACAGTTAACTCATATTTGGGGCTTTTTATGGTTTGTAAAAATTGTAGCTGCACCATGCCAAATTACCTGCTATATTTTAAATTTCTTGTAGTGTTCCTACCAGCTAATTACTTTTTTTTCTTTGTTTTTACACAACCAAAAATAAACAAAAATCTTCTTGGAAAGGTTCAGTAAAATTAAACACTCCCAATTTAAACCTTTTTGATACAGTTCTTATTTTTAATATATACTGTTATGTGGTTTACATCTCTTTATATTTTGTGAAAGGTAAATGAATACCTTAAGCTAGTTTTTGCAGGAACCTAATTTGTGCTGATTTACTCTTTAAAATGTTACTTGTTTATAACAAGAGTCCTTGTAATCTTGCAGTTCCTTCGAGAAGACCTTAACTACCATGACCCCAAGGCCAAACACAACAGCTTTCATGGCGATGACCAGTTCATTAGTGTGGAGGATCTGTGGAATGCATGGAAGGGTTCTGAAGGTACAGCTTTAAAACTCTGTTCTAGCCGTTTCTGTTGAAAGACTGTTTGTCAGAATGACACAGTTGGCAGTATTTGGAATGATTGCGTCATCTTTAAGGATTTCCACAGTGTGAAAAAAAAAAGAGGAAATCAGTGGTATTTACTGCTAACATTGTTCTGATAGTTTTAATACTGTTTTTTTCCTGTAATATGATTAGCGTTGATATTACATTTAAGTACTTTACTCAACAACTTCTTTGACTCACAGCTGAGCTCACGCTTCACCCCTGGCATGCTTCACCCCTTGCTCTCATAATGAAGCACCAGAGCAGTTGATTAGATTTCATGTGGACTAAAGAACAGTGGTCTTATCAAGTGTAGGTAGTAGCAAAGTGGACATCATTGACTCTGTCAGCACAAAATCCACTTTCACTCTCTCCTGCTTCAGATTATTAGTCTGGCTGGTCTGTCTGCTACAGAGAGAGCTCTGTTGTATCTTGTACTGATGTATTGCTCAGACACCATTTTTTGCTTGTAGTGCTCACTTACCCTGCATTGCAGCTTCTAGATAATGCTCTGGGGCTTTTGGGCTAGGTTTGTTTTTAAATCTTAATGTACCAACATAGACAGGAGGTGTTTTTGATTCTATACCAAGGTTGATTTAGGATGTTCATGAAATGTTATAGCATTTTTGTTCAGGATATGTAGTTGGTTTCATATCATGATAACATGGTACACTATGAAAATGACACAGAATTCGATTAGTATTGATACAGAAATAATTGGTTCCCATTGTAATTCAAGTAAAGGGACCTGATTGAACATTATTTTTCATTTGTGAGCTGTTTCTAAAGATATTAGAGTTACCAGAGGCTTACATCACATGCATCTGGAACATTTTCTTTGCTAAAGATTCTCTGCTTGTCTTTAATTCTTGGTGGTTTCAGGAACCTTTTTTTCCCTTTTAAAGTGTAACTTTCTAAAATGCATGAACAGTTAAACAACTTCAACTGAGTCATTCTTCATATTTTTCAGTGTATAATTGGACTGTAGATGAAGTGGGGGAGTGGCTCATCAGCTATGTGGAACTGCCTCAGTATGTGGATGCATTTCGCAAGCTGGCTTTCAATGGAAGTGTTATGCCAAGGTAAGGAATGAGATTGTGATCCAGTTTAAGACCTTAACTTTGATTTAAAAACTTAAAAAAATAAGGCTTCCAGATTAACCTGTGCCCGTTAGTCTTAAAACTACACTAGTATTGATAACAGTCTTTATCTCTTGTAAAAAAAAAAAAAAAAAAAAAAAAAAAAAAGTAAAGGCCAGAACACACCAAATCCGATTTTACCGATCTGACAGAAAATCGTGCCTTGGAGGTTGTGGCGTTTGGCGCTCATTGAAAGTCAATGGGTCATTGACCCATTGACAGGATGAATGAATGGCTACCATTCATTCTTCCTGTCCGCTGAACTGCTTCTAGTTTCACTCACATGCCTAGAAGATGTCTAGTGCTACTACCACAGATGATCTCACTCTTGAAATGGAATTGAACGATTTAGAATAGCTAGCCGAATGAATAGAAGGGGTAGAGCAAAGCCACCTGTGGCTGCCACCTTTGGCTGCCTATCACAACTCCAGTCAGGCCCGCGGATGACATCATATACACTCCACTTTATTTAAAAAAAAAAATATAAATGTAAAAAATATAACTGCGGATGTCTGGGGGACAGTGATTTGCCCACATGTTATGAATGCTGGCGTACCATGAAGAATAAATTATGAACAGTTTAGTTTGTGCCTTTAACTCGTTGCCCATAGGAAGACGTTACTTGAATATAACCTAACGGAATGTCTTCAGAACCGCTCCAAATGAACAGCTCCAAGGTGAGTAGAACATGATGTAATAACGTAAAATTAAGGACCCAATGTAAAAAAAAAAAAAAAAATCGCATGCCCCTTTAAACATGCATATCAATGTACTCTTTATCAGATGATATTGTCCCCAAATTTAGAAAATATCTATTTAAAAAAAAAAAATCCTGTCTTAATATCTGTGGGTTTTTTTTCGTTATCTTATGCCGGCCAGTTAGTAATACATCAGCCTGTACACCTAAATGCTGCCAATTATATATCAACAGTCATCTGTCAATCACATTTTTTCGGTCATTGCATTTGTATTCAATTGCTTCCGAGACACCGGCTACAATCAAATTTGCTTGCAGACTTTCCGCCACAACAATCCCGCTCTCTTGATAAACGACCAATCACATTCGCTTTATTCACTTGTGAAAAGTCGGGCACCACTCGACAGAATTCAGAAATGTAATGGTAGGAACCGCCGCTTCCCTACGACTTTAAACATCTTTGCTGTTTAGAACTCAATATTACAGTGAAGTTTATTGTAGCATTATGTTGGTAAAAGGGCAGCAGCTGCTTTGTCCTGGCAGAGAGGGTTAGTTTGTTTGCCTAAACTCGACTAGCTCAATTGCAACAGTTATCAGTTGCTATTATTTTTCATATGCCATATCAGAGGCGACCATATGCTTCTTTCATTTATGTAATTTTCCATGCGTTTAATAATTTTAGTAGATTTATGAACAGGGTTCCCGCGGGTCCTTAAAAAGTCTTAAAAGGCATTGAATTCTTAAAAATAAAACTAAGGCCTTAAATGGTATTAAAATGTCTTAAATCAGTCTTTCGTAGGTCTTAATTTTTAAAACATCATAAATAGGATTATTTTTATTACAATTTATTTTTGTAATATAAATAAAACATTAAAATGGACATTATTATTATTTTTTTTTGTTTAAAAAAAATAACGGCTCGCCATTATTGGTTCCGTCCCAATAGCTGAACCAATAAAAGCGTTATAGCGGCCGGGACATTTGGGAGATGCGCTATTAACTTTTTGTCTGGAAAATATGAGCAAGTGTAAATGAAACGAAAATTGGCTCCAGCCAATAGTTTTCTCCATGGCTAAAACCAGGGAACATACATGAGGCACAGTGTATTTTGTGCAAAAAGTCATTCAAGCTCGGGCCGATGGGAATTAAGGCAGTGGAGTCGCACATGCGAAGCGCGAAACACAAAGCTTCAAAAAGTAGTTATTGAGAAACAGCCGGTATTTCTCAGTTTTGTTCCACCCTTGTCTCTGCAACGCCTCCACTTATCACCAAATCAAACATACTAAGAAAACAATACAAAGAAAAATAGCTGCAAAAAAGACTTAGCACTGGTTATGTTGTGGCTTTAAAACTGATTTGTTTTGTTCCCTGCTAAAACAAAGTTTGTGAATTCAGATAAATAATTGTTAAAATATATCTGTCATTTGTGTGTTTTTAGCTTTCTTCCTGTATGGGAAGCTTTTCAAAATTTGAAACATTAGTGCAGTCATTTATGTTAAAATAAACCTTTGGGTTAAGTTGTCGCAAGCAGGTTTTTCTTGTGTTTCTTGTGAAAAGTCTTGAATTTAACTTGCCTTATGCTGTAGGATCCCTGTATCAAGGTTGATGGGGGTTGATGTCTTCTCTCTCGTCTAAATCCTACACATTGGAGCTTTAATGAATATTACAAGATTTAATAATCATGTTGTAATTAAGGTTTTTGGAGAAACGGCTCAACATTCTTGGATGGGTTAGCGGTATGCTAGTTCTCATAGATTTGATTTAAAAAATGTATTATTCCAGATATTAAGACTTAAGACTCAAAAGCTAGACTCTGACCTGTCCCTCAAAGACGTGAAATTTGAGAAAAAGATTTGTAAATACCTCTAAGTGGACGATTGTATTTCCTTATTTTGTTGTCTGCCAACCGCTGGTCTGTGGCCCATTATGATGAGCTAATTTGTCTCTGTCTCTGAAAGTAGGTCAAACACAGATGTCCCTTTCAATAGGAGGCTTCAATATTTTTTAAAGAAAAAAGATAATGAGACAATTATTTTAGCAACTGTCAACTATTAACTGCATGCAAAGAAAAAAAACATTCTGTAAGGGCATATTAAGTCAACCATCTATTCATCTTCCACTGCTTCCACCATGGTCATGAGGTATACCCAGGATAGATTGCCAGTCCATTACAGGGCGACACAGTAACACACAGCCATGCATATCTAAGATTGAAGTTTTTGGACTGTGGGAGAAAGTCAGAGAGAGTAGAATAGGGAGAACATTCAACTTTTAGGCTCCAAATCGAAAGGCAACTGTGCTACAAACTGCTCCACCATATAGCCATACAAATTAAGGCTATATTTAATGTAGTGGATGAATGAAGCATTTAAAGCAATAGCAGGAATTTACTAAGTGCTTTTTAATTAACCTAAATTATCCCATATCTGGTTTGTAACTACTTTTAATCTACTAACATTGTACCAAGGTTTCAAAGAAACCTTAAATATCAGTTCCCTTAATTATATGTTTAAACAATATGATCACTGTTGATGATCATTGCTCTTAAATGTGATTGTATATGTTTGAAATTGTCTTGAATCACCTGAGAAAACAAAAATTGGATAACGTTGTCTTCCTTCCCACTACTTCCTGTAAAGTAAAAATGTGTCTGCTTTCTCTCAGGCTTGCTGTAAAGAATGCTACTCTGACAGTCTCTATTCTGAAGATTCTGGATCGCAGCCATGTGCAAAAATTACAACTCAAAGCTTTGGACACTGTTCTTTTTGGACCCCCCCTAAGTATGTATTTGTTTCTTTTTTTTTATTTCCATTGTAGCAATTTTTAGTCTAACATGTCAAAGATTATATATAAATTGTTGTACTCTGTGCATTTTGTGTTGCTATGTGCTATAAAAAAAAAAAAAAAAAAAAAAACTATATTCCTGGGATAGATATTTGATTTTCAACAGTTTAATAGGTTACTCAATTGGATATCACTTAGGTCCACTTTGAGTTGCATGGTTACACACTGAATAAAAATATTTATCCATTGACCAATATTGCCTATATCAAGCACAAAAAAATAGCAATCTTTAGTGGCAGAGTTATCTTTGAAAAAATTTAATGGCACAGTTTACTGTGTTTTGTGTTTCATATTTCAAAAGTGTATATAAACTCCTGTGCTTGTCTTTAGTTGTGAATCTCCATAGAGTTTAAACAGGATACTTAACCTTCTACAGGGTGATTGAGCATCAGCATGTTTCACTAAATATCCTCTGGAAGTCAGTCGGTTGTATAAATTCAAAATCTGTTTCAGTGATAAACTCTTTTTCTTAAGCTTTTTCAAAATTAAAAGCACAGATTTTTGTGTGCGTGTGTGTGTGTGTGTGTGTGTATTTCTCACAACTTTGATTTCTTTTTGAAAAATGTATTTATGCAATATTTTATATCAATATTATCAGGAGATTCAGTAATATTAGTCCTGCTAATATCTGTCTCCTGAACCACCTGGAACTTTGCTCTTGTTGCAGCAAAATTTCTGCGATAGAACAGGAAGTAGGGGCCTTTTTTTGGTCCGTTTATACCAATGTCTCGCTCACAGAATGGACCTGGCATTCTCCTCTTCTGGTTTCTCCCCATCCTTGCCTCTCACCTGGGTTTGCACAGCGAAAAAAAGGGGTCCGGGTGGTTGATTCTTTAGGAGTTCGAACTATGTAATGCTTACTGAGGAAAGCTCAACATGGTTTAAAGGTATAGAGTGAAGTTAGAGTCTTGCACAGCTAAACAAACTTACTTCAGGGAGAGAACATTTCATGAGATCTCAGTTGACTATTTAGAGGCAATCTTGAACTGATTTCTCCTTAAAGGTGCAGTAGGAGATCTTTTCTACATTTTTACCATGTGGCTTAAAGATCTCCCCACAGCTGCTTAGCAAGCAGTGAAATAGAAGGTCTGGAAGTGAAACTAAAATAAATTTTCACCGCTACAGTAAGAAATCAATGAATAACCCCAACCAATCACAAAAGACGGTCCGTTTTTCACGATTGGTTCCTGACACGTCAATCATGGTCGTCTGTTTGTCCCTCCCCCCTGTGCGCATACCCTGACACATTAATGATTCTATTTAGAAGTGAGAAAGTCCACCTGAAAAACATTGTCAGTGCAGTCAGTTCATCCTGCCTTCAAATATTATGTCTGTGGGAGCCGCTCAGACCCCGTACACCGGTGGTGAACTGTCACTAGGAATCCCATTCAATAGCAGCCTATGGCCCGGTCGCCTCCTTGCAGTTTGCCACGGCGGCTGGAAGGCGTTTTTCATGTCCGTAATCCAAACTGCAGGCACCAGCATAATAAAAGCGAACATGTTTTGCCGGCATTGCTTGGTTTCGAGGAGTGCTCCGAAGGGTTGTTCAGAAATGTAGCTTGCTGGAACCGTTTTTCCAAGATCTCCACTGCACCTTAAGAACCTTGAACATTGACATGTATAATACTCTTTTGTTTAAATAGACAAAATGTTGTGTCATCACTGAAGTTGTTTAAAATCAAAGTTGAAAATATTTAAGCATTAAGCAAATGAAGAGATTGCGGGAGAGATTTATATCCAAGGTTTGAGGAAAGCATTTAGCACTTGTAAGAAGCTGAGCCACAATCTGTTGTTAAAATACTAAAGTGATTCAAACCTCCATATTTGGGATTCTGGATGCCCACCTGCTTGAGAGGCACTTAAAGTTGGTGAAATTTGGTCAAAGGTCAAATGAGGCTGGCTTAGACCTGGCTTTATAAATTCATACTTATAAAGAACAGTCCTGCAGTACAGCTATTGTTCTTTCCTTTTGTATTATCAGGGTATAAAATTCCATCCCAATCATGTATTTTTTGAGCCACCCTTCTTTTGATATACGGTACCCTTTGTATCAGTTTCAGGGTGTGACTAACCAAACTGTGTCTCTTTTCTGACTGACTCTCTGTTGTCACTGATAAACACAATAGTCATCCCCTTTCTCTTTCTCTGCTGTCATCGCCCAACCTCTGCATTTAGAGACTTTGAATTGTCCACGTTATTACCCCTATTGAACAGGGTGTTCTTCCGCTAAAGATGCAAAAAGGATTAGTTATTAACTACATACTTGTCAGATCCAGTTGAAATTGCATCATTGTTATCCAAATAAACCCCCAACACTTTCTTATTGTGGTTATAACGTTAAATAGCAGAAAAAGGATTGAAAATATTTTGTACAGTATGGTTGGATTTTCGGTATTGTTGTAGCTCATCTGCTTTCTAATTGACTCAAAGAATATTAAATTAGCCTTGCAAGAAAGCAGGGATTTGCACTATACAAGGCTTGCAGAAGAACACAGTGTGTTACTGTCTGTTTCTGACATGTGTTATTGTGGTTGTGTTTTTCCCTCCCAAACACCTGAAGGAAGACATTAGCAAGGACAGCCTGGGTTTGACAGCCGCTCAAAGTAATTAGCTTCCACAAATAGTCCAGCTGACATACTGACTGTACAGAGCAGTAGAATGTCTAAAGGGGTGGACTGTTGTTTAATGAGTAACCCAAAGAAATTTTGGACTGATTGGCATAGCTTTGTTGCCGTTTCAGTATAAATTGCACTGTTAATGGCTTATAAGATAGGGATTAAAAGTATAATGGCAGATTACATTGATCAGAGTATTATGAATAGCTGTCAAGGACGTGTGACAGCTACAGAGGAAGCGATCCATATCAGTAGCAGAGCTCCATCTATGAAGAGAGAATATAGAATATAACTAGCCAGCCACTCTGTTCTACTTATTTTCACTACATAGTAGTAAACTAAGCTGTTGGCTGATATGTGTTAATTCATAACACAAAACAAAGCAGTGCATTTTGTTTTAAAGGGATTTGGGGCTAATGTGGAAAAAGAAAAAAAGTAGGAACCTGTAGTAACCTAATCGGCTGCTGTGGAAGATTACTACAGAAAATGTTGTATGCAAAATGACCAGACAGGCGGAAGTTGTACAGGGCTGTCTGAATACATTTGCATGGAACAGATTCTTCTTTGTACTGTTATGTAATATAGAATAGGGTAATTTAACTGAATACTAAGAAGGTAATTAAGGAATTTGGTTCAGGTGTGGAAGCAGAGATAGATCTAAAAGATGCAGGACGCTGGACCCCGAGGCTTAGAATTGAGGAAGCCTGGTACAGTAAAAGCCTTTGTTTAGTCCCTGATGTTGAAAAAGTTAAACCCTTGCACTTTAATACAGAGGGACTCAGATTAGAATCCCAGGTCTGTCAGAAAGGCCATCCAGGCGTAAAAACTCTGCTAAGTATGTAAGAATGGTGTAATAACTTTCGACTGTTCTCTAAACAACAGGGCAGATGGAAGTAGGTTATTCATCATGGTCCTTTATTTTTTCTCTAAGGTAACATTTACTTGTATCATCCATATATACACACATGCTCACACACACACTGTTGTTTATTGTTGGCTAAGAATGGAAGTAACACCTTAATGCGATTCTACATGAAGACTTGATTTTCACTTTTTTTTTTTTGCCCTAGTTAAGAAAGATAACAAATTTTGTATTGCAATCAAGCAAAGTGTTTTGCTTAAAACCTGAATTGTTTTTGACATCTGTATAGTATCTAGAATAGGGAAAACCCTATGTGATTGTTGTCAGTTGCCAAATGATGACATCAAGTAACTTAAAGCCCTTTACAGCTTATAATTGGAAGATTTTTTTTTGCAGCTTTTCCAAGGTCATGGGGGAAGTCAATTAAAGTGTCTGAAAAGCAGAAGTTATCTTGTTCTCACTTTTCTATACATAGTAATTTTTTATTCGACTAGTGATGGTTTAACTATGCTGTAGTATCTTAGCAGATAGAACTGTTGATCTTAGGATACATTCCCTCATGCTGCTCAAATTCTAGTTTGTTATGTTATGTTTGTCACATGAAATAGTTTGGCCCTGAAAAAGGTCCCTTCAAACTTTTGCTACACAAGTGATTGATCAAAAAAAAAAAAAAAAAGACAGAGAAATTCAAGTACTTATACAGTTAGTCTGTAATTGAAGTTAGATATTTTCTCCTTCATTTGGCTCAGCGTAAATAAACAGTTACATTAAAGCTTATCGGGGCTAAAGATGCTGGAGGTTATTTGGAAAGAGTTATTGGTTTAACAGCGTGTTGACATCATCTGCGAATGTTTTGTATAGACAGAACAAAGATAAGGTGCTAACTAGGGTTGCAAAATATATTGCAAATTAAACCATTACGGAATAGCAGTGTATCCAATTTTAGTATTGCAAAGCACTATGCACACTATATCTGCCTCATGATCTGATTTTTGTCTTCCTACTCAAACTATTTGGGGTAGATTCGTTGTGGACTGTTCTTTGTAACAATGCCTTAGGGTTTTTGGTTGTTACGTCCCTTAATCCTAGATTCCAATAGTTTCATAATCCTATGGTGAAAGGGGTTTCCAAAAAAGAGATCATTTCCTACATGGGTATTGCTCTCTGCATCTTATCCGTGTTGCTAAAGGAGGTCAGATGTCCCCTCAATATCTTTCTGTTTTCTCCATGATGTGGTAACAAAGGTGCTATCATTATTCACAGGTTAAGGCACATATCTGGTTTAAGGGCAGGGCCCAAAAAGGATTAAGGCCACTTTATACTTCTGACGCATAGCCTCTGCAACCGTCAAATCTGTCTCTGTGCACGACCACGCCCCCGGTCCATAGGTTCTGCAACCATCGTCGCGCACCTAAAAAAAAAATCCTGACTAAACGTCTGATGGTCTCATACTCGCACAGACCTCAAGTGGAAGTGCACAGACAAAAAGCAGCTGTGATTGGTCAATAGTATGCCTTTCCGGCTGTCTGTGTGGTCGTCCTTCTCGATTTGATGCTGGGGCACGCCATTTTTAAAAACCGAGGAGTAATAAAAACAATGGATAACGACGACTAAAGGTTGATCGAGGAGGGTCGGAAGTACAACCACTTGTTCGATGCCTCAGACATGTTGTTTTGGAAAATAAATACTCCCGCCGGCGCCACCGAAGAAGTTCTTGTGACCATCCGCCGAAGTTCTTGCGAGTTCTTGAGTAGGCTCCCCCTTGAGCTTTGGCGGGAAAGTGCTGTCCAGACCGACGTTGCAGAAGCATACCAGCAAAACTGGTTTGCGACGAGGCGGAAGCGATATTTGATGTGTGCGGTCGCCGAAGTAAAATCCGCCCTTAACTCTAAAAACACAATGAAAAGGTTAGTTATGATGATAATGGTATTTATGCTTTCAAGGGTTTTAATATTTTCTGTATTTAAACATGATCATTTTTGGCACTGAAAAAAACAGTCAAGAGTGATCTTCTATATTTCTTTGGGGCATTTCCTCAGGAATTTTTCTATTCTGTTCCACAAAATCACCTTATCTTAAGTCTCACTCCAGGAAGTAAATAGTATCATTTTGACATGTCTTTCCTGCTTGCTTTAAATCAGGTTTTGCAAGAAGAAAATTTCCCTCAGCTTGCAACTTGCAAAAGGCAAGTTTTCGTGACTAGTTTTTCTAGTGCTTCATTTGCAAAAGACACAGATTAACCCTACAATTTCTGTCTTTGACAGGACAGTCACCTGAAACCTATTTTTTGCTTTTTAAAGGCACATGTTCCAATGAGTTAACATTTATTTTTTGGCATTGGCAGGATCACAACACACTCGTTGATATTTAAATAAAATGTCCCAATGCACCCTGCATTAATCAACAAACACTTTTTTGCAGAATACAAGCTCTGGTTCTCAGACTGAAATGGCCTCTGCTGTCCTGACCTGTCTCTGTTGTGGTCTTTTGCATTTAGCCCCCGTTGCCACAACCTAAACTTTGCGACACTGACCCCATTTGTTTCAATCCACAACACTTCTTGCACTGGGTTGGAAATGCGTGCCTTACACCACATCCTTTTGAAACTTGCACATTGTTCAAGTGCTATAACATGTGATCCAGATTACTTATACCTCACAAGATGCAGATAACTGCAGTTATAGGAGTTAAATAAAAAAGGTGAAACTGTTGTGTAGATTATGTGCATAAATAACTATTAGTTTGGCATGACATGAAGGCGACCGCCTGCTGAGGTTTCAAAGATGACTGGTTTGCCTTTTTAATATCAGCACTAAGCATATCTTCTTTCCTGGCTCTAGTTTGACTCTCGTCTTCCTCTTGATTTTTATACCATGGCTTCTCTATCGGTTTTAGCTCAGGCAAGTTTGATGGCCATCAAGCACATTGGTGCCAGTTATAGGCATTCCAGTCAAGCTTGATGGTAGCAGAAGCATGAAGTGCTGTATAATTTCCCAGTAGATTGACTATTGACTTGATAAAACAGTTGTCCAGTACCAACAGACAACGTTGCTCCATAAAGCATCAGCACAAATGATTCTAGACGTCTTTATTCTCAAATGAAATGCAGTCTTATTTTACATCTATCAGAATCTAAGTTCACCTGTCGTTACCAAACCTTTTTTTTTTTCCCTCCATATGACGTTCTGATGTCACATAGAATGTTTTTTTTTGTTTTGTTTGTTTTTTAGAAAATGAGTTTATTACCTATCAGTTTAAAATAAACTTGGGTTTGTCTCTTTTCTATAGTGAATCGACACAACCACCTGAAGGACTTCATGCTTGTGGTGTCAATAGTCATAGGAATGGGAGGCTGCTGGTTTGCCTACATACAGAATCGTTACTCAAAGGACCATATGAAGAAAATGATGAAGGACTTGGAAGGCCTGCAGCGTGCTGAGCAGAGTTTGCATGATCTACAGCAAAAGTAAGGGTTTTTCCTACCACCCACATGGCAAACGGTTACATGATACATGAGTCTCTGTTCCACGTAACTTGAATATTATATTATCTACATCTTGTTTGTTCATCTATCCTTTATTGTCAATGGTAACTTAAAGCCCACATATGTGTATAAGTAATAACAAAAATGTAAGCTATTCTTTAAATGGCTATATAAATAAACAACACTTCACATATTATATCGTGCCATTATCCATCTAGCAAAAGCTAGGTTCAAATATAGTCAGGATTGCTGGAAATAGCCATACTCCCATACTGAATCTACAGAATGTAGGGGAAAGGTAGCTGTTAATGCTGATGATAATAATAGCCAAATGTTATTTGATATATGCATGGTGTCTGCTGGAAATAAAAACAAACAAAACATAAATTGGGGAAAATATCTGTTTTTTTTTTCTTAGAGGAAAATCACCTGCAGCAGTTTAATCCAGATTGCCAAAACTTTAAAAGCAGGGCAAGAGCTAGGTATCTCTGATGGAAAATCAGAACCACCTCTAAATAGACCCTTAGTCATCACATGTTTTCTTAAATACCAGACTGTAGTTATTAATAGCATACTCAAATAAGGGGATAATATATATGCTAGTAATATAATAGAATAATCTAAATAAAATAGGGGGTTGGCTCTTTGTAATTATTTCTTACAGATTAAACAGCAACTCCCTTTCAAATGTAGCTTTATCTGGGCTGCTGGTTGTAGAATAGTTTATTTATGTGACTTAAAGGTGTGAGGTTGGCTTGTTCTGTTGATTTCAAGTTGTTCACTAGACTAGAACAAAACATTAGTTGGCCCATTTGCTAAGATAACTAAAGGTAATAAAACCCACCAAAAACATATAAAGAAGCTTCATCCTTTTGGATCTGTGGATCTACTTTGGTAAATTACTGGGAGGAATTTTGAGAATGTGCTTCAAAGCCTGCCTTTGATCTTCCTATACCTTAAAAGGATACTTACGGCCATTAGCTGCACAGGTCAGGGCATTTTTTGTTATCCAAGATTTTCTTGCTCTAATATTAGATGCCCATTATTTGACCTGGCTGTCTGTGCAGTGGTTATTTAAGGTTTTTAAGATGAAATTAAGTCTTGGTTTATGAAATAAGTACAGTAAAATACAGTATTATTGATCCTTGATAGTTTGATGTAATGTTGCTACCTTTTCTACACAGATTCTTCTTAGAAATGCTTGCAACATTTAAAAAAAGAGACCAACACTTTGACAGTTATTTATTTTAAGTTTGTTGAACTGAGGAAAAAAAGCTCAGATCATGTAATGTTGCATTAGAATAAATATAATTTATTCTATGGTCTACGGAACAAGTATCTTCGAAACACGACTACCTAATGCCCGCCTTGATTCTTGGTGACCCTGAATGAAGAGTAGTGGTGCCTCAGGCTGCCTACCCGCACAAGCTTGTTTCTACTCAAAACTTGTGGTACCATTGGAAGATACATACTAGTATACTTAAATAAACAGCAAAGTGAAAAAAGGTATGTGGATAGTACAAGCTAAAATAGTAATAAGAGGCAAAAGAACTTTGCATATTGCCATGAGGCATGTAGTAAACAAAGCAAAGATGTGGGAGAAGATGGTCTGATAGGCTAGAGCCATAAAAAACATTATGGCTTATACAATGAGTCACATGAGTTGCAAAAAAAAAAAAAAAAAAACCCACACATCACCTTAGACACACCATTCCAACTACTACATAGCTTGGGAAGAATCACAAGGTCGTCAGAATATTTTAAGCAGGAACATTAAAACTAGACATAGTTGAGACCCAATGTGGGTCCAGGTAATAAAACACCTTCTATCCAGTCGAAATGAGCTTAATCTATTTTCCAAAGAAGAAAGGGCAAATGTTCAGCACCTAAATTTTTCAAAGCTGATGGAAACATAGTTTAAAAAAATAAATGCAACTATAAATGCGGCAAAATGTGTTGCAATAAAATAGAAGAATCTAGCATCGCCGATGACTCTCACTTTACCATTCTTGCCTCCTTTGTGGAGGTCTATCTCAATTGAAATGCCTTTTCATTATGTTATGTTTCTGTCACAACAAAAAATGTTGATATAATGTTTTATTTTTTTGTAGCAAAGCACTTTAATCAGCTTGTATTGTCTTGTGCTGCATCTCAGATATAGAAGAGTTTGCATTTGATTCAGATCAGCAGTTTTTGGTTCTGTATTGCATCATAGTTTGTCTGCTGTTTAGTCATTTGACTAAATCTCCCCGGTAGTAGAAGCTCAGTGTTCATAATTATTATATTTTGCACATGTTTACAGCTATCGATTATCAAAATGAATACTAATATTTCATACTTAACACATTGTAAATCTGCTAGCAGTAAGGTGGGTCTAGCATGTTTTTATATCAGAGAAAAATGAGGTATGTCCTCTGTGTGGTAGAGCCTTTCTCTCTGATCCCTGCTGCCAGCTGCTCTCTTTCCATTCTTTTAAGCAGATCCTCTGCTGGTATCAAGTAGCCAGGGTCAGACATGGCTTCCCTGTTAGGAGACTGCAAGCGGGAGCTTTGATAAGAGCAGGATTTCCTCTGCCACAGAACTACGACTGTGGTGGGAGATAGTGATAAGAACAACTGCTTAGTATGTTGGCTGTGGTGCTAATTCACCCACATTTGGATATAGATTTAAATTGTGGAGTGGGATGCACACACACCTGAAAAATAGTAGGAACAAGGAGTGCTTATTTAAAAGCTATTTGGCATGCACATTTATAAGTGTTATTGTCTGTTACTACCACTTCCTGGTACCAGGAAAAAATGAGCTTTGCCTTGTTGGCTTGGCTCTGCATGCTAAACAGCAGCATTTTCTCTTCTCTGGGTGCTGCAGATTGTCCAAGTCGCTGCTATAGTTCAGTTAAGGTCAGGGTTGAATGCATTAGCTGGACTGCCAACTAGCCACTTTTCCATAGTTGGTGGTCTGGTCGGCTTTCATTTGTCTGCCCTCCTCTGCTGCCTCTGCTGTTCTGTTTAATAAAACTTGGGAAGATTGCTGCTCCCTAGTGCCCAAAACCATGAACTGCACTTAAACAAATTAGTTTAAAAATAAACTTCCTCAGAGATTTGAATGACATTGCTGCCATTGTTGCAGGATGAATTACCTTATATGTTTAACCTTGCAACAAACCTTAGCCTGTAGGCCCATATGTGAATACTATTTGTGCTTTTTTTATGTTTATTTTTCACTTTAAAATTAATCTCCTTAAAGCCATGAGTAAAAAGTTTTTACTTTTGAATGTGCTTTTTGCAGAAAATGTATCTGGCTTAGAAACTAACCCATGTATCAAAGAACACATAAAGACTTGAAGTCACACTGTGCTATTCTAAGGTTACTCACTGACAGCTGTTTCCATTTCTGGCTCAGCTCTCTCTGATGTCAGTTTATTGTGAGCAGCTTACCAGCTGAGCACAGTGCTCTGCTTTTGCATGTCAGCCATTATTTCCGGTGTTGCACGGCTGATGCAGTGCTCACATTTCACACAAAGGTGGCACTCAAATGCTTCCATGTAATCTCAGGACATATCAACCATACTGATACAGCAAGATTTCCTTTTTTAGCTTTGGAAGTCTCCACTATGACTTGCCTTTAAGTTAAAATAAAACAAAAGTTAACTGTTCCCTGATCCTGCTTTCAGGCTGCAGATTGCCCAGGAGGAGCATCGGTCTGTTGAAGTGGAGAAGGTGACCCTGGAGCAAAAGCTGAGGAATGAGATAAATGCTGCAAAGCAAGAAGCTCAGCGACTGAGGGAGCTGCGAGAAGGCTCTGAGAATGAGCTGAGTCGGCAGAAGTATGCAGAAGAAGAGCTAGAACAGGTACCTCAGTCGTGACATTTTCCACATCACAGTGCTAGTGCAAGTAACCAACCATATCCATTCTCACTCTTTTGTGTGCACGATATTGGTATCAGGATTACCACTGCCCGTAGTGCATATATGATGTGTAGTTGCACCATGTTAAAGATTCAAACCCAATTATTTACACTTCAGTTCTGAATAATTCAGTTTTATCTTTGAAACAAAGCATATACTGATCTCTATCCTTAATGTTCAAGTTGATAAAATGCATTGATGCCAAATGAAGCTCTGATTAAACAAAGTCTGTACAAGGATCCGGGTCCAAGATATGTTTCATTTAAATATTTCAACAGTTTAGTTAGCATAGTCATTCAGTTTAGGTCTGGATTGGCATGGCATTACCTGGCAATTATCTAGGTTCTCTCTGTATTTTTCTTTATATCTACTTTGACCCCTCACCAGCAGTAACCAAGGGGCAAATTGAAAAAATATAGCCACAATTGCCAAAGTAGAAAGAAGAATGTTATTTTCTTTTTTGGAGTAATGAAGATTGATTGATGTGTGTAATGCATAATTCATGGTAGATCAGGAAGTGTTTGCTTTGGGAACATTGTATGTCTAAAACCATTCCTTTATTGCATATTTTGTTAGCTTGTCTGACTGCTATATTAACCATTATGATGTGTTGAATACGATATGCTTCTTTCACAGTTTTTGTGTGACACTTTTGTATAAAGTAGGGCATTAATTCATAAAAAAGTTTATTAGAGTTCTATAAATCAAAGTTTTCTGCCCAACAGCAATGATGATCTACACAGCAGCATTCTATACCCAGCAATTTTAGTATCTAGGCTAGAGCTGTCAGTCTGTTAAAGAATCTGATTGTGAAGTTTAACTTTTTTTTGCAACATAAAACTGACTAAAACCTTTTTAAGTTTTAGTCAACTAAAACCAACTAAAACTATCACCTATTGTAATGACTAAAATGCGACTAAAACTAATAATAGTTTTCGTCCTGAAGACTAAGATTAAATCTAAGATGGCTGTCAAAAACAACACTGGTGTAGAGACTCTGAAACATGCCTTTAGCTGACAGAGAAACACACTTAGAGCAGTAATTATGTGGAAATTGTAAAAAAAAAAAAAAAAGTTATTTAAACATTTTGCATTAAGATAAAAGAAATATCTGTCAATATGCTCTATCCAGAACTCCTTAAGTGGAAAAGCTTGAGTTTCAGCTGGTTTAATTTCGTAAAAAGTCTTCTTTAATCGATTAATCGAGGAAAAAAAAAATACTTGACAGATTTATCCAGTTGCAAATTGGCAAATTTGTGCAGCTCTGCACAAATCAAATCAGGTTTGTTGTTTTTAGATGGCACATTTATATTTTATATAAATTGAAATTTAATTTAATGTCACTGAAATTAATGAAATTTAGGGGGAAAAAAAGTTATTTATTATTGTTGTGCGCCACATTTATCCTTATCATGTTGTTCTAGGTGCGCATGGCTCTGAAGAAAGCTGAGAAGGAGCTGGAGTCCCGGAGTGGCTGGTCACCACCAGAGCCTCTGCAGAAGTGGCTGCAGCTTACCCATGAGGTAGAGGTGCAGTACTACAACATCAAAAAGCAAAATGCTGAACGGCAGCTCCTGGTGGCCAAAGAAGGGGTAAGCAAAACCAAAGTGTCAATAAGATGCCATTTAGTAAAGATTAAGACAGTGGTGGCCTCATTATTGTAGATGTTTCTGAATTATTCAAACACTTACATTATTGGAACCAAGCTCAGCTTTTTGGGGCTTTTTCACAGGCAGAGAAGATAAAGAAAAAGAGAAACACTCTATTTGGGACGTTCCATGTGGCTCATAGCTCCTCACTGGATGATGTGGACCATAAAATATTGGCTGCAAAGTAAGTCAAACAACAACATTGCAAGACTTTGTTAGAAAGTAGCCCAGGGTTTAATTTCCAGCATTCCTATATATGTTTTTATTTATAACTCTGCAGGCAAGCCCTCGGTGAGGTGACTGCTGCTCTGAGGGAAAGGCTGCACCGCTGGCAGCAGATAGAGGTGCTCACAGGCTTTACTATAGTCAATAATCCAGGCCTTCCCTCACTGGCCTCAGCCCTCAACCTTGATGCCAGCTTCATGGGCGGCAGAGCCACGCCTCAGCACTTTGTCATGTCGGACGATATGGACGACTTGGATGAAGGGATTTTACCTGGAACTCTGCAATGTAAGGGGTCTTCTGAATCTGTGCTCCAAGGTGTGGGGAGTAGTAGACGAATCCCTAAACAGATAAAGACTGTGATGGAGAAATAAAAGAAAAATAATCACCCAGCATGACAATTGGGACATCTTGTTCAATATCTCCTGGAAGTTGTCTTCCTGCCTCCCAGGCAATGATGGTTTTAGGTTGAAAATGTTCATCAGTAATTGTTGTTTGAGTTGTTTATGTAAGTTGAAGTAACTGTCGTCTTCTGACACCGTTGCAGTTTACGTTTTTTTGTACAGATGCACTGTTCAGTCATTTAGCTGATTTTTTTTTTTTTTTTACTAATATAGCAAAAACAGCATAAAACCTTTTTCTCCTCTGTCTTTTTTTTTTTTTTTAAGTAGTTAAGTAATATTATTTTTAACAATATACACCAAGCCAATGTGAAAGGATGATGTTACCACAACCTGGAACCTCTTAGGTGATTTTTACTAACTGGGAAAATAAAAAAAAGACAAAAAAAAAAAAAAAAAACATAATTAAAAATCATACACTTGCTTCTTTGCTTTTTTTCCCCAGATTTTGTTTCCTGGCTTATCACTGGTCAGGGCCACATTCATCTAATAATTTCATGGTGCATCTCTCTCTCTTTTTTTTTTTTTCCTTTCCCCACCATTTAAGTGTTTTTACTTAAACCTGGGGCCAATTTTAAAAAAGGCCTTGTATGACCTTTTTTTCTTTTTAAAAATTAACTGTCAAGTAAAAAATATACTTACTAAAATCATTTTGGTTCTGATCATATTTTGGCGCAGCAATTTTAACGTGCTTTCCTGGTTTAGTACAACTTGGAGAACAATTTTGCGTGTGGTAATTTCTCAGATCATCGTTTAGGTTTGACATCAGACACAGAAATATTACATACATTTCCATCTTTTTCTCTAACCTGGATTAGTCTGAGTGCAAGCACATCACACAGTTCAGCTAAGTTAACCAATTAATTGTTTTGTCAAATGATCAGAAACTGTTTCAGCGAAACATGAAGTGTTAGCTCATAATTGTTAACGCGTGAAAGTCATAAAAAATATTAATTAAACCCTCCTTTCTCACTCCCTTTCCCATTTACACCACCTTTGTTTCTTTTTGATTTCCAAAACTCTCTCATTGGCCTTATTTAGATCGCACAATGCAGCCGGGGCGGCGAGTCAGTGACCTGTGGCCTATTGCTTCAGATTGCCAGTTCATGTGGAAATATACTGGTTGGCTTTCATTCATTCCCAAGTTTATTCTTCGAATCGCCTCTTCCTTTGACCCATACCCTTGATTTCAAAATACGCATGAATTGTATGTAGTCAATCACAGCTGAACAAACGGCAAAATTTTCTTATGCTGTTCAACTGGGAACCTTACTATTATTTATAACTACCCCCTTCTCTATACATCTAGTTTTTTATTAATGACATTCACGGTCCATGAATTCTAATCGTTTTATTTGCTTTCTTAGTTTGAAATTATATGAAATAAGTGGTGTTTTTTTCTTCTGGTGCATTACTGAAGCATTTATGATACTGAAATAAAGTGTGAAAATATAAATGCAATCCAACATTAGAAGTGCACCAATTTATTCAACCAGAGATATATTCAGCTCTGATGTTTAACTGGACAATTGCTGAAAATTTGTAATTTTTTTTTTTTATTTATCAAAAAAAAAAAAAACATATTTTTATTCAGATATTAGCATTAAATAAGATACAGCAGTTTGAGTTTAATAAAAATCTAATACATGTAAAGGACTTTATCTTTAATGTGGAGAAGGGTTCCAGTGTTTTTTTTTTTTTTTCTGTGAAAAAAATGTATGGTGAAAAACAAACATTGAAAATTATTACTAGATTAGATTAGATTAGATTAAACTTTATTGTCATTACACAGGTACAGGTACAAGGCAACAAAATGCAGTTTAGGTCTAACCAGAAGTGCAATAGCAGCAGGTGCAAAATAAATAATGGTTCCATAAATACAGGACATGGGTTCTACTGAATAAGTATAGAGATGAATACCATTATAAACAGAATCTTACTGATAGATGAATATAACTGCCATTCTATTTTGCCTTCCAACTATCCATCCATCTGTCCATCCATTGTCTTTTGTTATCCTAATTAGCTGATGAATATCGATTTGAGATTAGGAAAATTTAAAAAGTCTGCAAGTTTGTGTGTTCATGATAAATGTGTAGCACCTTATATCATTTTTGTTTTGGATTCAAAACTTTTTACCACATAAAGCCTGCAGCACATCTTTTCTCTATATTCTATTTTTATGAATCTGCAGGTCAGACTTCAAAGAAAAGAATATATTGATTTGGGCCACAGCAAACTTATTGTTGCATTTTAATTTGCACCTCAGTAATCTTTTCCCTGGACATTTCCTTGTCTATCAAAATCTCTTCTGTTAGTGTTTGCTACTAATGATGTCACTTTTTCCTGCAGCTCCCAGTATGATGTCACTGCGCCAACGCCACATTGACCCCCAGCTGGCTTTGGGTTCCCAGAGGTTGGTAGAGAGTTCTCTGCTGGCAGGGCAGCAGGGAGAGGGAAACCCTTATCCGTCTAAGCCTAGGCCTGCCTTCCTGCAGTCTCGAAGTCATTCGTTTGGGCAACTAGAATGTCTTCCTCTGCAAACTCTCTCCTCAGCTGTCTCTCACCCGTCAGTCATCTGTTCTTCCAACCCAATCCCTCAGTCTCTGCCATCCTTGTCCTCTTCCTCCTCCTGCTTGCCCAGCACCGTTGCTGGCGGTGTTGCACATCATTCCTCCCATGTACATCATGCTGCTTTCCAACCCATGGACCCCATTCCTGATTATATCTCCAAAGTTCAGTCCTCATGCAGCGACAGTCTCGGGTACCAGTCTCACTCTACTCTGTATGCATGTGTGTGGGTCTTTTTCTTTAATCCTTTTCTTCTTCTGTCACTTTTGGTTATTTCATGTGTGACACGTTTTATTCTACTTATAATTTCCGTTGGTTTTATCACCAAGTAATTGTGTTTTTAATTGCATCTCATAAGTAGCTGCTCTCTCCTTTTCTGAGCTTTTACACTGTTCATTGTATTTATTCTCCACGTTGTTCAGCAAGTGTAAATTTCCACTATCCAGGCTTTGCTGAGCATGCACCTTTGCAGGCATAGTGTAGACAAACCTGAGCATGCAACAATTGCTATTACTCTGGAATCTTTAATATTTTTTGTCTAACTATAACATTTTATGTTTGGCCCCTACAGGGACTTAAATCGCTCCGACTCGGACTCCTCGTTGTCCCTCTCACAAGTTGGTGATCGGCTCTCGGCCTACAGCTCCAGAAGCCGTCTAATCAAACCCACCTCTCTTGTGTATGGGCTGCCCGTACAATCAGACGACACCGTCTCCCTGCACTCCCTCAGCTCTAACGGAGGGAACCGCATTTATGAAGCCGGAGCCACAGAGGCTTTTTCCGGCAGCCCAATATTAATGAAGGAGATTCATCCCATGGAGAAGTCACCCAGTATGGGAGAGATCAACAACTTCTCTGAGTCATCCCGTTCTTTTAGCCCCAACTCAACGGAGCCCGATACGCCATCCCCAACAGGAGTTGCGGGGGTGAAAGGTAGCAGTCGCATCCCACAGCTGTCCTCCAAGAAAAGTCCTCTGGAGGAGGACAGTGGATCAACAGGAGAAGACACAGATCCCAGCGTCACCCGCAAGAAACTTCCCTTCAAAATCTTCAAGAAACAGAAGAAATAAGAGCAACATAAACTGAAAGGCTATCAAAGCTGCTTGACTGTATTCCTGTAGTTTTTCTTTCTCTCTTTTTTTTATGTCTGGGGTTTGATTATGGTCAAAAGATGGCAATATTTATTGCCATTGCATCTTTTCTGTAGGTTACAACACCTACTTTGGACTGTGGGAGCAACCAGCTGTTTCGCTTTATCTGCTTATTTGGTCAGTGTTTGAACCTAATGGCAGCGGGCAGGTATGTACATTGGAATGTAAAGTATTATTTATTCCCGCGGAACGTTGCGTCAGTCTGAAAGGGAAACGTCTCCCTCATGGTTTTTCTTTCTTGTTCTACAATTTGACATTTTGCATGTCTTCTCTTTCGGTTGGCTGATACGCTCTTAGTGTTTGCTTGGTTCTTGTTGTTATCGATCCAGCTAAAAAAACACTTGATGCTACTTTGATTACTACCTAACCGCCTATCTTACAAGTCCAAATGAATGCACACTGTTTTTGTGGAGTTTTTTGAGTTTTTTAATTGTGTAAGATTTTTTTTGTCTTTTGTCTTGCAGGCAAATTAAGTGATACATTTAGAGGAACTTAAAACAGAATAGAAGAAGGTAGTTACAGCTTTCACAATCCGATGTTACAATTCAATGTCAGTTTATCAGTAAAGGCTAGTAGATAGAATTCACTAGAAGAACGTCTACTAATAATGTTACAAAAACGACAATCAAAATGGAGGTTAAGGGCATTTATTTTTTCTCTAAATACTTTTTCAACCTTTACTATATTGTAAAGGGGCATAATATTGATTATTTCTCTTGCTTTAAAGTCCAGCTTTATTCAACTTAAGCTACTGTTCCGAGTTGGAACAGTTTAAGACCAAAATAAATGACGTCACACTGACCTCTTTTGTTACTTTGCTTTATAAACCTATATGTGCATCTGATAGCATTTCTATTTTCACTAAAAAGTTCTAATTTAGTTCCAAAGGTGAAACTCATAACAGAGGGAAATTTCAGACAATTTATTTCTGTTAACTGAGGATTGAAGTTTTTCCAGAAAATAAAGATCGTAGATTAAATTTTTCAGGAAATTTTCTTAATTTTCACCAGTTAATCAATGACACAAAACTACATGTAGTATGAAATACAAAAGGCCATTGCTGGCTGCTCAGTGCTGTATCAAAGCATGGCTGTGGAAAGTGGAGTGGAAGGAAAGAACTGAACAAAAACAACTTACTAAATAATTTACAAGCTGAATGACATTTTGAAACAATTATATTTGTATATCAGACGGATTAACCCAGGTAAAAGCCCTACTGCATCTCTGGTTCAAGAGTGGCTTTAGACATGACACGTTACACTGCAAAAAATATCAATTTTTCTTAAAATAAGTGCATTTTTTTCTTGAATTAAGCAGGTTAGTGAGATACTCTGCCAATGGAATAAGACAATTTACATTTGAAATAAAAACTAACTGCATTGTCTTATTTCAATTGCATATCTCATTTACTTATAAGGGTAAAAATGCTCATTCCATTGGCTGATAATTTTATTTTCCTACTCAAATTAAGAGTAAATACACTTATTTTAAGAAATCTTTACTAAGTTTCAGAACATTTTTGCTGTATAAAGTTGCATATCACAAAAATATGTCAGCAGATGGTTGATTCAGAAACTCAAACTGCAGCCCCTCTCCACGTCCAATATCTCCCAAATATTCTTGCGATTATGTTTGCAGTTGTTACAAGGCTGCGTTCATCCTTTGTGTGTAACTTTTTCCTTTTGCTCAACTTTCCATTTCTTTATTTTGATGCCACATCCTGAACATTAAACTTTTTAGTAGTGATATTTTGTTGTATAACCTCCCTGCGGAATCCATTGATGTGCCGATGTGTCCTTCACAGCTATCCTCCAACTCATAAAATGAATACATTCAAACCCAAACCATGGAATATATTTCGTTTTTCCTGGATTTTGTGTTTTCTTCAGCTTTCTTTTCAAAATAATCCCCCCCAAAAAAGAAAATGTAGATCAGTTTGTGACAGAAATGTGAGTTTCAGTTTTTGGAAATGACTAAATCATTCGATGCACCTGTGTGGTTTGTAATAAAGTAGTTTTTAGACGATTAGATCTCACATTTTTAAGTGATCAGTTTAATGAGAAAGGAAACCTCTGTATTTCCTTCTGTATCTTACTGATCCTTTCTTTTTGCTTTAGTTAATGTAACATTAGTCAGAGAGAACTGTTTGGTAAGGGCTACAATTACAAGAATATTTATTTGCTCAATTTAAGAAAAAAAAATAGACTTTGGTTTTATAAAAGACAATAATAAAGTTGTTAAGACAAAAACAGCCGATTGTGTAAAAGTGCCAAATCTGTGTTCTTCAGAGGCCTTTATATTTGTGGTGTGTTCAAAACCCTTGAGCCCCTTCTATCCAGAAACCAAACTCCAGGATGTGCGCTGTACTGCACAGCCAGAGTTTCGATACTGAATGTTTGAGGGTATTGTTACTGTAACAGTACCATAGGTACAACATGTTTACATTTGTTACAGATGAGTTTAATTCTCAGAATATTGCAACACAGAAAGTTGTGCCACTTTTGATGCAAGTTGCTTCATTTTAAGCACAAAGCTATGCACCAGTAGTTTTAGTTGTTTCTAAAGTAGTGAGGACACCAATACTTGTAAGGTGCTCCTGATAAATGATCAACCAAAAAGTGCTGCAGAAGACAAAGTGTGTCTCCCCCTTGGCTTCATAATGTAACAGGTGGTTTGGACGCAGAAGACATGTTTTAATGACTTTAAGAGACCATCTTAAAAAAAAAAAAACTTTTCTTAATGGTACTTTTTTTTTTTTAAGTGTAATTTCTACCTTTCTCCCTTTTTTTTCCCTCCTGCACGTCAGCTGTAAATTGCAAATTCCATCTGCGTGTGTATGCGAGTGCGTCTGTCTCCTCCCAGTATATTGCACTGTAATGTTGATGCATGTCAACTATCATAACAAAACCCTATATTGGGTTGAAAGAATGGATCAGCTTAAGTTCTAACCTCGCTGCCCAACTTTTCTTCTTGTTTCGAGCATATATTTCTGAATACTTGCAGTATATTTGTACAGAGAAAACTATACTTTTTGCATCTGTGGTGGTCTGGACTTTGATGGCACTCTTGCATGTTAGCAATAAACTATTTTGAATGAAAAACAGATTTTTACTCATTAATGTTACAACCACAAACTTTCGTATATTATAGATGTATTTTATGTAATGAACCAACATGCAGTAGAGCATTACTGTGAAGTGGAAGGAAAAGAATCCCATTTTTTCTGTGATGGACTAGAAATATCCCAATATCCCTCTTCCAGCCTCCATGCAACACTTCAAGTACAATCAGGTACCGATGATTGAAAGATGGATGGTTTAAGTCTTTTTTTTTTTTGTCAAAAGTAGCATTCATTTGAATCTCTACCTCCGAGTCAATACCTTGTAGGACGGCCTATCACTGTATAAACAGCCAGATATCTTTGATGATCGTTTGAGACTGAACATAAGTTTTATTTTTTGTAAAATCACTCAACTGGATAAGGTAGAGCTAAAAAAAAAAAAAAACATTAAAATATAGGTCTACACTTCGTCTGCTGTCACATGAATATGTTTCCATCTATTCTCTCATAGATCTTGCAATGTTTAGCGTGAGCATCATGTTGGAAATTGAATGTCTGGCACTAATGCATCATTTTAAACTTCTAACCATTTGTCTCTAGGATATTGGTAATTTTTTAGTATAACTGACTGACCAGCTTCTCTGCTATTGACAGGCAATGCAATGCTACCACCACCACTACAGGTAACTAAGATATAGCAGAGGTGGCCTAAAATTTTCAGCTCTGGCTTCATTTGACCAGAGCCTCTACCCTTCATGACAGAGAGCGCATTTAAAAAAAGTTTTTATTTAGCTTTACCTCAATAATGACATTGTTATCACTCTGCCCGCTGCTGCTCTCTACATGTCTAATATGTTTCTTATTGGTCTCATTTTTCATTGGAGCTGATTTTTTTCTGCTGCCCCTTCCAGATTTACCATTTCACTACCCTAACCCATCAGATCAAGAAGACGGCCCTATTTTGGGAAGATTTTCAGAGGCATTAATGCAATATTTTAATGCGTTAGCAGGACATGGTTAACCAGGAATGAAGTCACCAAAATAGGCCAAATGTTGTAGTCCAGCAAAGCATTTGTCTGGACCTAGATCATCATGCAGTTATCTAGATCAGTGGTTCCCAACCCTGTTTTCTTCAGAAACCCCCGTCCTGCATGTTTTAGGTCTTTCCTAGTTGGAAAGAAAAGAATAAATGATTAACAGGCTTCTGCAGGACCCGACTGCAGAGGAATAACCCTATTTTGAATCAGGTGGTCTGAACAGGGATGTATCTAAAACATGCAGGACACTGATCTAGATGATTACACTCTGCCAATATGTGCATGAATAAAGCAGGAGTGTTGCATTCATGGACGTTGATTCATTGGATAAGTGTCACTGTGTCATGATTAGATTTTCTGAAATGAATAACCAGATCAGTTTGACAACCTGAATATTAGAAGCCTTTAGAGAACACATGGCTATCCTCGGAGATTAAAATACACACATCTAGATTATATTTCCTTAATCATCTTCTGAAGGGGCTGGTAACACAGGGTTTTATTTAGGGGTACCTGAGTAAAACTGTGCTGAATATAAGTAAATATCACATTTACCAGATTTCTTTATGTAAAAGGGAAAATATCTTCCTTCCAATTGACAAATATGCACTGCTTTGTGTAGGTCTGTTGCATAAAAGGTGTGTAGCTGTAAAATGAAAAATATGGAAATATTCAAATGGTTTAAATACTTTTGAAAGGCCCTGCAGGTGTACGTTCTGTGCAGAAGCTGGATGCCAATGATGCATCTTTATCTTTTTAGGATTGGAATGCAGTTCACAGCACAGCGGCCCTCCCCACCTCCACCGTTCAGGTAGTAATTGGGTGGAACTGTGTGCTGTTAAATATTTACCTGTGCTTCAGTGGAGCCAGTGTGAAACAGGATTAGATCCGGTTATGGAGCCTCTTTGTTTCCCTGCAGCCTTCTTACTGAGAAGATTGATGAAGGCAGTGTGAGACATGGGCTTCCATACATTATACAAATTCATCTGCCAGTTTTTCCTCACTATGCAGGTAGGAGCATGTTTATCTTAAGCATCTCTGACAGTCATTTACTGTGCTTTCATCAGGTGAGGAACTGCATTTGTTGTGCTTCAGATTGTTTGTGGTTTGGACAAGGTGAAGCTCCTGAATCCTCCAGAGGAAGCTCTCCCAGACCATCTCCTGAGAATCCTCTACTCTTGTGATGCAGCAGCTACAGTACAGCTGGACTGTGTTGTAACATTTGAAACAGGCACAGTGTCCACAATCCAACTGAGGCAGTGGAGCTGTGTCCCCAGGGAACCTTTAATAAAGACTGTGAAGCTGAAACTACCAGATTGGTTGGTGTATCAACCAGATGGGATAATTCCAGATTACATTTTGCTGAGCTGTTTTCTTCGAGCCACTGTTAGACACTCTGGTTCTGATGAGACTAGAGGCCCCTCTGGTTCTCAGGATGTGGCACATCTGCAGCCTAAGCCCTTCTTTAGTCGACCTGTCAAGCAGCATCAGCTCTCTTTGTCCTGGAGCAAACAAATGTTACAATTAACTCAGCGGTTTTTACAGAAACGGTGTCCTGTAGAGCAAGGTAAGGCTGAACCAATGAGGATTTTTGTTTTCTACATTCATTACTGGTGGGATCTTGAAAATTCTAGATCCATTACAGGAAAGAGATTTCCTTAAAACAGTCTACTTTGAATGAAAGCTATTGCATATTAAAGCTAATATAACCTAACTAAAACTCATCGTTACCCTTAGAAACCATCCATCTTCTGTCTACAATCTATGCTTCAACCGGAGAAATATTTGGAATAACAAAGACACTGGATCCATACAGTAATGAGCTGCTGGAGCACCACCGCATTAAAGCCATTGCTTTTCCTTGGTAATATAGTAGCTATAACACAGTTTATGATTCTTTGGATGCAGATGGTAAAATTAACCTTATAGCCGAACTTTGCATATTTTTCCCCTAGGTGTGAACTTTCCTTGTGGATATTTGTGACCAGGCATTGCAAGGAGAAATTGTGTGGAGTGTTTCATCACATTGATTCCCACAACAATTATGCCACACCAGCACTTTTCCTCGGACAATCAGGTATTATTAACTTTTCTGCGAGCTAATACATTCTCATGAATATGCTTTATTGCTTGACAATGTGCATTCTATTAAATATATAATACCGTATATATAAGGTTTTCCTAAAAGAAAAAAGATATTTAAAAGTCCTTGTAGATGTTCAATGGTTTGTTGGTTCTGCACCAAGATTTGTGGCAAACAATTTACATTTTTTTCATAATC